ATTTTTTTGAGGTCTGCGAACAGCCAGTAGTCGCTGGGAGCCAAATCTGGCGAATACGGTGGATGTGGAAGCAATTCGAAGTTCAATTCATCTAGTTTTGCCACTGTTTTGATTGATTTATGGCACGGTGCGTTGTCTTGATGAAACAATTTTTTTCTTCGTCATTTGCGGTCGTTTCTTTGCAATTTCGGCCTTCAAACACTCCAATAGCGCTATATAATAATATTCACTGTTGATGGTATTTTCCTTCTCAAGATAGTCGATATATTACACCACGCACATCCTAAAATACCGGGGCCATAACCTTTCCAGCCGATTGTTGTGCTTTCATGCGCTTTGGACGAGGTTCAACAGTTGCTCTCCATTCAGATAACGATCGGAGTGAAGTAATGGATACATGTTTCAAGCATTGTCACAAACGACGCAAAAACCCCGGTTCGATATGTTTAAACATGGCCAAACACTGCTCAGCATCATCACGACATTCTTGTTTTTGGTCAACAGAGAGCTCGCGCGGTATTTACTTTGAACAGAGCTTTCTCAAAGACAAATGCTCACGCAATATAAAGCCAACACATTTTTTTGATATCTTCACAATGTCAGCCAATTCACGCAATTTCACTTTTCGATTATTCAAAACGATTTTGTGTTTTTCTTTTCTGTTGCTGCCTCATTTGGACGTCTACTGCGTTCCGCATAATCGGTGTCGTTTCACACCATTGCTTCTTTTGAACGGCTTTTTTTCCCATCAAAAAGCAGTGTAAAATTAAAACACGAAATTGTTTTTGATCCACTGTTTTGAAAATAACAAAAGTAGAGTCACTTTCAGCACAATAACGCACAGACTTATGGGTGGAATATCTGAAATTTCAATGGCTTTCTTTTGAAGGTTAGTACTAACCGAAAAAGCGGTGAATGCGATAAGACTGGCGCCATCTAGTGTTAGGCCCGATACTTTTCATCCCATGTAGTATGTTGTTTGTTGGTCCAAACGTAACTTTCCGAAATATTAGCATTTATCGAGAAACATCCTTTACATATTTTTGAAAAATACGCAGCACTCACCTTCATTCAGTTGAACACTGTTGACACTATCATCGTCAGCAAAATCTGCATTGGTGTACCTCGTCATCTAAACAAAAACAGTATTAATCAATGAAATAGATCGTTGTGTTTGTGATTACATTTCTGTCACGATTTATAGAAAATACTCTCTGCAATGTCCCCATCTACGAAGGAGATCGAATGGAATATGAACAAGAGCAATTGTCGTTAATGTATGCAAATGATGGTCTGTCACGTAACCTTTAGAGGAAGCCTGATGTGTTTTGGCATCGAACTGAATTGATTAGGGGAAAACAAACAAGTGCGAATCGATTATGAAGCGACACAAAACGCAACGCGATCCGGAGGTCAAATTCAATATCGATAATATAAAGCAGGCTACATTTAACAACTGAAGATAATAGAATAGAATAGAATATTTTTCATTCAAATTGCAGTTTTTTCAACATACAGAATGAAATATACAATCAAATGATCATGCGTTACAACATAGGTATAGTCGAAGTAACTGGTATTTTGCATACTTAAAGTGTTGGCGCCCTCAAAGGCTAGAAAACCAATACCTACAAAGAAATAAAGTCGCTGCCAACTAGTCCACGTGGACTGAACAATTGGCGGTTCGTATTGGATGATTTTTACTACGTTACGGTGACAAATAGAATGCGAGGATGGTTATAAGAGTCGTGTTGTCAATGTTCAATTCAGGAACTGATCGCGATTTGAGAGTTGACATTCGATATTGGTGCAGTTATAATTGCTTAATTTTTTTTTTTCTGTTTAGAATGTGGCGTCCTTGGACAAGTACTAATAGTAATAACGAGTGTGATAACAAAGCAGACTCTTTCCTGTGTAGTGGTTCCAATAGCGATGGTAAACAATGCGAAAAAAAGATACCAGTGAATAAGATTCGGATGCATTTGAATATTGAAACACACAGAGTATGTCTCAACGTATATAAGTATCTACATCTCAAACCTCACGAACGCAATACGCTATGTGATACGGGATTACCAAAACCTTTAGATGTTCATCTAATAAAATCATCGAAAAAACAATATACGACTGTTACAAAAGCAATGAGATGAATACAACTGAAATCATAAGGAAGAAATTGAATACTTACGGCCATAACGTGAGCTGCTGTGATAAAACTCTTCAGAATTGGATGAACAAACTAGGGTTTAGTTTCAAAATAATAAACAAACGTCAAGCAGTTACGGAAAGCAGAAGAATGGTGAAATTTATAGACAAGAACAACGGCAAATTTTCTATTTGGATGAAACTTGGTAAGTCACTCACGACATAGATAAGAAAAGGGTGGACTGATAGTTCGAGAATGTGTACGCCTAACATGCCGCGACAAATCATTGTGCATTGCGGAGGAAGTAAAGGACGGGTTCCGAATTCTTTGAAATGATGTGTAAAAAAACTTGAGGACTGTAATATTGACTATCATAAGAACATGGAAGCTAATATTTTCGAAGAATGGTTTGAAGACACATTGATCTCAAATTTGGATGCGAATAGTGTAATAGTTCTCGACAACGCTTCCTATCATTCGCGACAGTTCATCAAACTACCGAATAAAAATTTGAGAAAAGATGAAATACAAAGTTTTTCAATGGATATCAATTTATAAGAAGAATGGTGAAATTTATAGACAAGAACAACGGCAAATTTTCTATTTGGATGAAACTTGGTATGACACTCACGACATAGATACGAAAAGGGTGCACTGATAGTTCGGGAATGTGTACGCCTAACATGCCGCGACAAATCATTGTGCATTGTGGAGGAAGTAAAGGATGGGTTCCGAATTCTTTGAAATTATGTGTAAAAAACTTGAGGACTGTAATATTGACTATCATAAGAACATGGAAGCTAATATTTTCGAAGAATGGTTGGAAGACACATTGATCTCAAATTTGGATGCGAATAGTGTAATAGTTCTTGACAACGCTTCCTATCATTCGCGACAGTTCATCAAACTACCGAATAAAAATTCGAGAAAAGATGAAATACAAAGTTTTTTAATGGATATCAATTTATATTTTGAAGATTACTATACCAAAAACCAACAACTTGAAGTTTTACAGACAAAAACATTTGAAAAAGTGTATGCCCTTGAGAGTATTGCTGAAACACGCCATACTGAGACATCCCCTCTATTTTTGTGTTTTCAATCCCATCGAGTTGATTTGGGGAAATCATCAGGCGTAAAAATAATTTTCCAGAATTTGATAAGAAGGTAATAGAGCTAATTAACGAAGAATTATCTAATATTAACGAAGAAAACTAGCAGAAAAGGATTAAAAAAGTAATTTTACTTGAAAAAGACTAGGTATATGGAGATTGGACACTTCCAAGCTGCGCTTGCGGAAAGTAATACGAGGAAAACGTTGCTTATTCGTGATTTGCTCGTCATTCGTGATTTTTTTTGGCTAAAAACAGCACCGTATTCATGTCTCAGCCGTCATATTCACCAGATTCAGTCCTCCGCGACATTTACCTGATCCCAAGATTGGCGTTTTCGACATCATCAGAAGGTGGCAAATGATACCTTACCGAAACATAAGGATGAAAAACACAGAACACGGAGCGATACCCGGAAAAACAGCGACAAAATAGAATTCGACGGACAAATAAATATTTTCTAAACAGAATATATTGGCCATGAATAATCTGTTTTGTTATGTTTTTCGTACCAAAACCTATACAGTTCTAACCTTTTCGATTCTGAAGCTAATTATAGGAACAATTATTTTTATTTTGGTATTATGTAAACCAATTATTTCAAGTGACATGCTGAATATTGTCGTGTTTATCTTCATTATTTTCTCGCATCATCTGAGTCCTTGGGGAAGATCGACGAAGCAAATAAAACAATAGAACGGCGTCAATTGTGTTATCCCCAATCGAACTATTGATTTGATGTTCGAAATGGTTATGGTAGCAAAAAAACATGCACGTGTTGATGTTTTCGAATAGAGCGTGAATTACATATCACGGGGGTCGCAACAAAAGTATGCATCTCCGGTGAATAGGTTTTCAAAAACATACAAAAGACTCCTTTCTCAACTGTACGTAAAATAATCAGAAACAAACCTTATGAACGCAAGACGCGATGTGATCTTTTATTATCTTTTATTCTACTACTGTTACCTGATTCTACATTCCTTTTAAGGTTAATGAGGAAAATAAAATTGAAAAGGGAATATTTTTTCAGAAGAGATGAGGTTTTTGGACAAAGAAGTTTTTGAAAAAAAGCTTTTTGGCTTTCTCTATCGTCGAACAAATAATGAAGGAAATTTTCAAAGACAGATGGTTTAGAATACGATAACTTTCCTAATAAATCTTTCAGTTTGCTTTTTAAAACACTTCAGCAGATTCTTTTTGGATTTAGCTTCGTTTTTTTTCAGATTGCGGAAGAATAAACACCCAAAAAATTGAAAGAAACATTGACTCTATCGCAAAAAATGTGTTTCAAAAAATATTTTCTCGATGATGTTAGGATTAGATTAAATTTTTTGATTAGTTACTCAACATTTTTTTAACATGATTCATAAATAATACAATCATAACATCTTGCGATGGTGTATAATTCATCACGAGAATAGAACAGTCATTTGTGAATATTTGAAAGGATTCTAATCCGTTTACACTAAAATCCATTAACTAAACTGAAACATGTTGGCAAATTCTTCAAACCAATTTGATGAGTTAGTTTTTTCTCGTTACTAATATAAATAAACACAGCCTCATGAGATAGTAAAACTGTCGTATATAAAAACGTTAGAAAATGTTTATTTCGCGATTTTTCCATACGGCATAGCCGTCTAGGTCGTCTCACCTAATATCTCTTGACTTTTACTAGTCGTATAAAAGAATCAGTACATTGAAACTTACGTTATTTATGAATCGGTTCCAAATATCCATTTTGTTTTGTCACAAACTAGAATCGAGTGTTTGTACGTCGTTATGGTAGACTTATTGACTATATTCTGCGTTATCTTATCTCGATTATTGAGCAAATAATTACTTTCAGGTAGGCTGGTTCTATTTAAAAGACAATCGAATGGCGATATTAGTTGACAGAGAGATAAAAATATCAATAAAAATAGCAACAGGAGCATATTGTGCTATCATTATATATATGTGTGTGTGTGTGTGTGTGTGTGTGGTTGCAGACCACAGAGAGATATAAAGAACAATTGACACTGACAGCTGTTCTGTGATTCAATTTGAAAGATCATTCGTCTGTAAGTTTATGTTTCAGAGTGAAACTAAAGAGAAAAGTTATGGTGCAAGTGTGATCAGTGTCAACTGCTGTTTTGTGAAATTCTTAATGAGAACACCCACTGTTAAAAGCATACAAATTATTTATTGAAATAAAGTAAAGCCCTGCCTTAGGGAAGTTGTATATGTATGTCAAAAACATGAAAATTTATTATTAAAATGAAGTAAAGCCCTGCCTTAGGGAAGTTGTATATGTATGTCAAAAACATGAAAATTTATTATTAAAATGAAGTAAAGCCCTGCCCTAGGAAAGTTGTATATTCGTTATGTTCTTTTTAAATTATTTATTATGAGTTAGGTTAATGAGAATTCAGAATTGTTACTGATTTGAAAATCATGTGAGTTTTTATCAATATTAAGTCAGAAGGCATAAATATCGCTGATGTGATCAATGTCTGATCTTTTATTGAAACGATTATTTGATTTTAATATAAATGCCATTTCCAAAAACAACCTTTTAGATGTATTTCTTTCAATTGCTAAGATTGCTACGTGATTGCTAAGAGCACATCTCTCAGGATATTTTCTACTATCACTTTTATGGAAAGTGATTCTATCTTTGACGTTTGACGAATATATACATTACTACAATTGAAACATGGTATGGAATAAACTGAGTTAGATTGAAGATTTGAAGGAGTTTTATCCTTAAGTTTTGAAAATAATTTATTTATGGTTAAAATGGTTCTGAATTCTATTTTGATATTTAAAGTATTGAAGATTCTGCGTAGTTTGGGTGTCATATCACTAATATATGATAAGAAGATGAAAACTATAGGAGCTGGAGGTGGATCAGTCCCAATTGTGGTATTGTTTGATTGTGAACGACTTCTATCCAACTTGGTTGTTATTATCAATTTGAACGTCAATGGATGATGTACTAAATAAGATCTTCTTAAGCAGAAGATCTGGGTAAGAGTTATTATCAAATAATTGGAAAAGTATCTTTAAGTTTTTTGAATGAAATTAAGGATCAGAAATCTATAAAATGCGGTTCTTCATTTGTTTGACCAAGTTGATTTTCGTTGATTGTTTGTGGTATGACTAGTAGTTCAAGAACCTTCCAGAACTGATAATCAAGACTTAAAGTTCCAAGATATTGGAGGTTATATGGTTTATGATAGTAATGAAAATATCCAAAAATATTCTTCTTCTCTTTCATCGTGTAATTGCCTCAGCTACTGAGAGTGTAACGTATTGACTGTGCATTCAATTATTCAGCTGTCAGCTTTGAGTACTGTCTACTACCTCTTCTTCTTCCATATTTTTAATCTACCGTCGAGTAAATTCCGCTACGGTTGGCAACTCTGTCGGCAGGCAAATCATCGTTATGGGCCCCACCACCTTGCCTCTGTCCCTCCGAGCGAGTCTGGTGTGGTGGACCCTCGATTACCAGGAACCGAGTTTTAGGTCTACAAAGTGGTTGGTCCTGTAGACCCACTGCCGGCACCGGAGGGAGAATAGTGTTCTTCGGTACGGTTCTGCACCAGTTGTGAAAGTGGTGGTGCAACTCACCAAAGGCCTCAGGTGTTAGTCGCCATCCCTGTTTATTTATTATTATTTAAACTAAGTTTGCGCTGGTCAGGCTCTATCCCTTGAAGACCTGATAAGTTAGGGAGGGCGCGCCAGCATTATCAACCAACGATCACCCCCCAAACCGTGGGGTAAGTGATCACTGGGTCTGTGAATCACGTGCCCCGAGCCAAGAAAGACAGCTTTCTGTATTTGTCCGGCTGAGATTTCTGCCTCAGTGCGGCAAGCCGCCATGATTTTGAGATTCGAGAGTAGAGAGGGCATTATTTCACCAAGAACTCCAATAATCAAAACAACCATTTTGACAAAGTGATCTGAATAGAGTCTGCAGAGTTCAAAGAGTTAATCTCGATATTTATTATTAACATTAGATATTATTAACTATACTTATAGTGTGTAATTTTTTTTTTCATATCAAAAATACTCAAATACATGACAATATTCAAATTCTACTGTTAGATCATCTGAGAAAACTCAAACAGGGAAGTTCACATATTCAACAACAACATACCTATAGTTTAAGAATAAGCGTGTAAATTGTTAATTTGTATGATGTAGAGTTTCATAAAAAAATTAATAAATAATTGTTCCATTATATGAGTTGTAGTTTGATGGAAAAATTCAATATTTTACCTGCGATTAAAGAGATATGTAACATAGTCTACTCGTTTGAGTTTCTAATCACTTACTTCAACATGTGCAATGGAAAAAAATGTTTTTCCACTCGCTTCGAAATATTAAACTGAAAATTTACCTGATTTCCATGATGATTACCGGTTTCTCTGTCTAAGGAAGTCATTTGTTTATATGAATTACTCTACGACATCTGCGATTGCAAAGAAACACGAAATTTGACCCTACATAGCCGCGAACAAATAAACGATGTGCAATAAATAATCGTCACTTGTTTAAACAACCGATGAACTGAGGACGCGGCTCGCTAGATTGAATAAACTGTCTCGAATTAGGAATTGAAATATGGAACTTTTGACGTAATGCAGCGCCGGTCGTCGTGTTTGCAATAAAAATTATTATTATTATAGCGGGCGATCACACTTACCTTGACGCTCATTCTTGCGACACTATTTCAGAACGGTTCGACCATTCGATGTTTGTTTGTTTAGGAAGGTTTTTGTTATCGAGGGTACGGGCCAACGCGACGGTGGAAGTCGACGCCCTGTGTTGAACGTACGACGCCAGACGTCGGAATCGGGATTTTGTAAGATGTATTGATTGCTGAGTTCACGAGGAGTGTTCTTGCGTAAAATTCGGTGCTGCTTCACACATTTCCTTTTACGCAATTTACTGCTTTTTTCCATATTTATGTTGATGGACATGACGATAATATTTAGTTTGCGTTTCTGGAGCAAAACTAGTCGGAAAGTCAGGAAATCATTGCTTTTGAAAAGTCGCAGCCTGAGTATCTCAATTCACTTCATGCGTAAAATTATTCTTTTGAAAACACTTTCCTCATACCAGAATTTCATCTCCTGATCATGCTAACTTGAGTAGCGAAACGCGCATAGAGAGACAGTGTATAAGTTCTGGTGTGTGAAAAGTGTTATATCCCAATTCAGCTTTACAGCTGTGCATCAATTGGGCTTCGAATTGCTTTGCATCCACCGTATCCTCCAGATCAGGCCTCTAGCGACTATTTCCCATTCTCAGACTTGAAAAGAATGCTCGTTGAAGTAGACCGACACATTTTTGAAACAACTGATAGTTTGAAGAAAAATTTTATTATTAACACACATTATTCGAACTATTTTCGAGAGCTCTCTTCTTTTGAGGCTAAAGCATCTTCATAATTGGGAGGAGATTCGTTTTCTGAAGAGATTCTTTCTCTTCTGGCGTTGTGGACTTCATTATAGATGTGAATGCGAGCAATTGGCGTGCTTCTATTGCATGTAGGCATACCGAGAGCATCTTGATAGTTAGGTGGAGAATCTTGTATTTTATGACCACTATGTAATCGCCCTGTGAAAAAGTTAGCATCATGAGCTTACCAAGTCTCAGATTGTTTTTGATTCATTGTTTTGAAAATAACAGAAAGAGTGTCACTTTCAGCACAACAACGCACAAATTTATCAGTAGAATATCATAAAATTTCAACAGCTTTCTTTTGAAGGTTATTACTAATTGAAAAAGCGGTTAATGCAATAATACCAACGCCATCTATGTGTTAGGCCTGAGACTTTTTAGTCCATGGTCAAACTCTGTAGAGAAACATTTCAAGTATTTTTTTTATTTTTCTCTAGAGTTGTCATGTACTTACGATTGTTATAAGTTTGAAGAAGACAGTTCAAAAAGTGGTCTACTTCATCCTGTCGTCTTGGCGAAGTTACAGCTGAAGACAGTGGACTGCAATTCGGACTACGACGGCCGATCTCTATGTTAAGAGGTCTGTGACTGGATTTGATTTTCTTACAATACCATGTGCAGAAATAGAATAAAGCGAAAACGAGGAGTATCATCAACCTGGAATTATTTCGAGGATTTCCCTTCAAAAACTGCCGGCAGAGAACATAACGCAGATGGTGATCACTTGATCACCAAGTCTTACCAAAAATACCAGGACTGGAAAAACTTCAAATACGTGTTCGTGACGACGCAGCATCCTTGTTTGCAACATTTCTCATACCTACGACATATGTAGTTTGAAATTGACTTGGAGCCGACATGAATTGGACACAATCGGAACTGAGGAAAAGGCTGAAAATAATATTATACTACTCTGAAATTTTTTTATGAGCTTCGGGAGTCTTACGGATATTGTAGTCATTTCATTGGCATTTTGACAAACACTTTAGCAATTTTGACAATTCTATTTATGACGTTGCGGATGCCAAGAGGGTGATCCAAGAGGAAACGAACAATAGATATATGAAAATTGAATTGAAGTGTCAAACATTTCAATTAGTAGCTTCTATGGTACTGTTTACAACTTATTAGCCATGAATAACTTTGTATATTCTTTCATTTTACGAAGATAATCCACTTTTGTAGAACAAATATTGAGAATGTGTAATTGGTTACATACTCCTCAGAATGTGACTCCATATTGAATATATGATTCGATCAAGGAATGATAAACTATAGGAAATATTTAACAACCTAGGGCAATCTTTGATCCCAAATGTCAACATGATGTACATTTAGAACTTCATAAGTGTAAACTTATAAACATAATTTCTTATTGGGCCATTACATAGGTAATTATCATGCAAAAAATAATAGCTTTCTCGATGAGAGATAGACAGTATAATACTAATCTTTGATTTTCTCATGCCATAGAATGGCAAGATTAAAAAGAAACCATTAGTTGAAGTTGGAAAATTCCAAACAAATGGAAAATATCAAAAATTTGCCGAATTTTCAAAGCTGGTGCCAAAAACAATATCCAAAACTACCGACCTATAACTTTGTTATCAAACTTTGCAAAGGTTTTTGAGATGTGCTTGTACAACAGAATCTTTCCTGATTTCAAGAATTTAATTTCAAACAATCAACACGGTTCCTTTAGCAAAAGATCAACAATAACTAACTTAAAGTGCTTCATACAATCAGTAATGCACTTAATAATAACCTATAAGTAGATACTTTCTACACAGATTTCTCGAAGGCGTTTGACAAGTTGGATCATAACATTCTTATCAATAAACTTCACCAATATGGATTCGACTCCCAACTCTTAAACCTTTTCCGCTCATACTTAACTGAACGTATCCTATTCGTAGATTATAGGGGTCACAAGTCGTTCCAATTCATTGCAAACAGTGGTGCCCCTCAAGGAAGCAATTTAGCACCTCTTTTATTCTCACTCTTCATTAACTACATAGGAAATAATCTCTCTAGCAATTTCTTACTCTTTGCAGATGATTTGAAAATCTTTCGGCCCATTACATCACAGGAGGACTGCTTAATCTTACTTTTTGTACAATTGGTGTACCGAAAACAATCTTCCCCTCAATACAAACAAATGTAAATACTCAAAATACACCCTTAAATATAATGTTATTTCTCATGATTACTGCATAAATAACACACCTCTTCAAATAAGCACTCATCAAAGGGATCTTGGTGTCATATTTGACCCTAAAGTGAGTTTCTCCATCCACTATGACACAATAACATGCTCAGCCAAACGGATGATAGGGCTCATTTATCGTAACTGTAAGAACTTTCGTGGCAGAGACAGTTTTTTAACTCTTTTCAATGCATACGTCAAATCTCGGCTGAAGAATGCCTCCCTTATATGGTCATCCATATACAATGTCCACATAAACAAAATCGAGTCTATACAAAGAGGCTTCATAAAATATATTACTTACAAGCTAGAAAGAGTTTACCCTGAACAAGGCATCGACAACAGAATACTACTGAATAAATTTAATATATTATCCCTTCAAAACCGAAGAACCTACTACATTTATAAACTAGTGAATAATCTGAATAACTGTCCCGAACTACTCTCCCATGTTTCACGAATCAATTCTAGAAATGAACTGACTTTTTATCTACCAAATACTTGAACAAACATATTACTCAAGTCACCACTTGTTGCAATGAGCAAACTTTACAATCAACTCTGTGAAAATCTCGACATTTATTATGAACCTATTGTTCGAATCAAGAACCACATTGAGAAACTTTTACACTCTAGTTAAAATATATGAGCCCAAATTGAAAGTTATTCTACCATGTGAGCTTATTAATACTACTGTATTACTGCTGAATTATTTTTTTTTGTAATACACCTGTTGTGTTTCTAGTTGATAAATTAGTATTGTATTCATGTATATGTGTATGTATGTATGTATATATGTATGTATGTATATATGTATGTGTATTGTGTGTATATAGGCAGATATAAACTGTAACATGCTTGTTAATAATATTAATATGTCTTGTTATTGAGATTTATTCCTGTTTAGACATTAAACAATAAAAAAAAAATACTAAAACAAGAACAAGACTGGTCCAAGCACTGAGCCTTGAGGAAGTCCACACTCGACAAACACCAATTTTGGGTTATTTCTTCATTTGATTTTTGTTATTTTCATAATTTTCTAACTAAAAAATAAATGAAAAGATAATTCTAAAACAATCTTTTTTATTAATAACAAAACTACTTTAAAACAATTACATTCCCCCCTCCTCTCTCTTCTCCTTGACTGCATACCCCTCCACTTCGTGCAAATTCGTACCATCAAACATGACCATAATGTCCCCTTTTATCAAATGTTTATACGACTTTTTTGGACCGGTTGAATTCAGATGGTACAGTGGTGTCTTTGAATTCAAATTAGCATACTTGAATTTCAACCTAGTCCCGCCTGGCAGCTCCTCGTTTTCCCCGTCTGGTGACCCCACTTCCCCCACCATTACATCTTCCATGGTGATGGCCTTGACCTTCTCCTCGTTGATGTCGTTGTCGATCTCCGCCTGGAACGTGTCAAGGGTTTTTGCGATGCTATCCAAGTTCTCATCCAAGCTGGCTTTCTGTTTATCGAAATTGAGATTGTCAACACCATATTTGCGTTTTTTCTTAATTTTCTCATCCGCTGGGTCGTTTCGGTACAGCTCTTTCATTTCTTCCTTGCTGGGAATGATTCGTTCCTGTGTGATGTCACTAAACCTCACACTCTTCCTCCTACTCACTCCACCTGTTCTAGGCTCACTGTCTAAAGCAGTGGATATATCTTTCTTAGTCTCCGGGGTCGAGACTATATTCAGTATCAAATCCAAGTCTTCCATTACGATGGATTTGTCGATAGAATCGTTTATACACAGTGCAGGGTTAGCGATTCCCTTCTCCGAGTCCACATTCGATATTGGTTCTGCATCAACAGTATCATTCTTTGACTTTTTCTTCTTCTTTTTCTTAACTTTGATTTCGTAAGGGTTTTCTGATGATTCTGCTTGGGTTTCTGGTGCATCATCAAAACTGGGATTGTCAAGAGCCAGTTTCTTTTTTTTCCTCTTCTTAATTTCATGTGGGTTCTCTTCAATATGTGATAAGTCTGTGAAACTTTCTTCAGAGACATTGAAACATGGGTTATCAATCGCCAAATTGCCATTCTTGGTCTTCTTCTTTTTCTCAACATGCTTTGATATATCTGACAAACTTTCCTGCAAGTCGTTAAGGTCAGAATGTTCAAGATCTAGAGTTTTCTTCTTCTTTTTCTTTTTCCCCGGATTTTCAGCAGAACCATTTTCAATTTGATACGCACTTGAATTTTCTTCAGTGTTCTCCAAATCGGGAGTTTCATCTAGAGTTTTTTTATTCTTCTTCTTTTTCTTTTTCAACTTCAACTCGTAGGTGTTCTCTTCAGTTTCTTTTTGATTTAAACTATCATCAGCTTCATTGAAATTTGGATTATCAAATACCAAATGGTTTTCTTTTTCACTTCCTTCTGCTCCAGGCTTGACTTGGACAGATTCTACACCATTTTTAAGCCCCTTCTTCTTTTTCGTCTTTTTAACCTTAACTTCATAACTGTTCTCTACCCCTTCGCAATTAGCACTACCTTCATGAAGAATAGGGTTGACTGAGCCTTCTACCTCAGTCTTTTTCTTTTTCTTAGGACTTTCATAGCTTGATGTATTCTCAGATTGTTCAATGACATTTTTCCTCTTCTTCTTTTCCTTCACATTTTCAACAGATGCCTCTTCCACGGTTTCCTCAGACAAGTTTTCCTCAATGGGTTCCAGCACATGCTTCTGTATTTGTACAGGGGTAGCTAGAGGGTTGAAGGAGGGGTTGGACAATCCCAAATTCTCTTCTTTGTCTCTTGGCTTCTTGTCTTTCTTAGACTTCTTCTTGGGTGAAAACACCATATCCTCGATCGTCTCTTGAGCCTTTCTCTTGGTAGGTGCTTCCTCTTTAATATATGATACAAACGTGGGCTTATCCACCTCTTCAGAAGTCTTTTCACTTTTGAAGCCGAAACCAAAACTTGGCCTGCATTCACCTTCTGACTCGGTTTCATCAGCCTTTTTCAGCACACCATTATTGCCCACTGTGTATCTGTTACTTTTTCCTAAGCCTGGTAGCTTCTTCTTGAAGTAATCCCTCATGGAACCTCCGTTGAAAAGAAATCCAGACTTGTTGTCTTTAGAGTCGTTTTCTACTTCAACAGGTTTTTCAGTCTTTACTTCTTTGAGAGACTTTTTGCCAAATATGTTTGCCAGGTCCTTCTCCGAGTATCGACTGAGATCTTTGCCACGGGTGAATTTGTGGTAGTGCACCCTTGCTCTGGAGGACTGGGATTTCTTCTCTAACGAGTCTACTTTGACTGCCTCCAACTTAGCGCTGTCTCCCGTTAGTGATTCAAGCAGGGCGCTGTACTTGGTTTCATGCTCTGTCCATTGATCGTTGGATTCCTTGTAACCCATACCTGAAATGATGTCAACAAATTAGACTTTTCTTGGAAAGAATTTGTGAAAAAGTTTACCTTTACTGTCATTTTTGTAGGATATTTTAATGTGCTCCGTTATGCCACTTTCCTTGGCTCCCAGACCTTTTCCGTGTTGCCAGCCCATTTTCTCCAACATTTTTTGGCCAAACTTATTAGTATCTGAAACAAAATAAATATTGTGGTTTTGCTTACATAGATAAGCTGAAAGTGCTCCTAATTCTAGCCAAAAAAGTTCATTATCAAACACTATAACTTACTGACACCAGGTATACTCAATACACTGAATATCAACCACAATATAACGACTGTCTACTTTTTCTTTAAAGTGCCTCTAATTTACTACTGAACCTTACCTTGGGACCATTCTTTTCCTCTTGGGTTAAGAGACCATTTCTGTTTCCGTTTTCTTTCGGCCAGCATTGACATCTTGTCGAATTGTTGAAACAAGATGTAGAGTTAGAAATATCAGCAAGAACTATACCCGTTTTAATAGATAACTTAACGTGTAAGCTTACATTTTGCATGTAGGGTAGGGTTAATTTGATGGGCTAGGGGTTAGGCTGTCAACATATCGTCTTCTTATTTTTATCACGGTGGCCTCAAATGTCAGGGCTATCTGTCAAGATCTGTGTTTTTTTGGGTGGAACATGTAGAAAAATTATTACACATACACTTTGTGAACTGAGTCATTGAGTGATTCTAATAAAATGTATTCGAATACGAAACCAAAAATAAAATATTTTGAACTCCTAGAGGGAAGGCATAGAAAACTATTTTACGTCCACTGCAGTTTGACTGTTCTGATAAGTTATTATATATATTTTTTTTAATAAACTGCTACAATAACTTCAATGGCGAATAAATCATATCTAACTCATGAGCAGGAAACAAAATCGTATTGGAAAAGCTTGTTTGAACGTGGTTGCGATAAAAAGTAAATGAGTGTAGTAAAATTGGTTTCTGATTTCATTTTCATTTAAGAAATATTGGTGTCCTAACATCAATTTTCGATAATCTTCAACTGCAATTCGCCATGCAGAACTCTACTGACAGATACTTTTCAGTGTACAATATATAAATATGAAAAAATGAGGAGTAGTTGGGACGTATGTCTTTAGAAAACGCCACTTCAGTTATAAACAATTGTAAGATACCGTATTTCAAATTTAATAGTTGTTTATCCATGTTGAGAGGTATTGATTTCTTAATGTCATAAAACAATATTGTCATACTTCGAATCATGTAAATCGTTTTTCATAGTACTGATCCCATGGTTGCCAACTGCGGTAAAATAATAACATTTGACAATTTGACATTTCCTGATAAATAAACAAACAATCTTTCTGGTTTCCAGAATATGACCGAAAAGATATTTCCAGTCGTCCTATATGAAGTTGGGGCTCCCAACTTCATATAGGACTCGAAATGAAGAATTAGCTATGAAGAAATATAAGATGGTCTGTCCCAATCATGTCCCAGAAATGAAAATACAGAAGGAACTCAGAAAGATAGGTTATTTATTCATTAGCAAATGTCAAATTGTCAAATGTCATTATTTTACCGCAGTTGGCAACCATGAGGTCGCATCACTTGATAAGGTGAATTACGATGACGCCTATTGAAAGTCAGCCAGAGACAATTTAATGGTCTATGTATGGTCTATATACAGAATAAAAATGATTTAATGCAATCCTGAGAGCCATCTATCAGATATTCCTGGAACATGATGAAAAACCCAGCCGTGAAGTGACGCCACTACTACCAGAAAACACCTACCTACCCATTGTCTAAAGATCTTAGACAGTGACCTACCTATATACACTTTGAGTATATACTTTGACTCTGAAATGAGCTCCAATTACCACATTGATTACGTCAAAAGTCATACAGCAAAGCTCTAGATTTTTTCTGTCTATTACGTACAGACATTGATGATAAAATAGCAATAAAATTTTCTTTCGCATTATTTCACAGTTAGTTTAATTTTTGGGAGTATTATATGGTATCCACATTATAACTTGAATGAGTTGAGGTTGGAAAAACAAAAAGAAATAAAACAGAATCATGAGATTTCTTTAATTGCTGGAAGCAGTTGAACGCACACAATAAGTGATAATACGACAAATTTCAACGTAATCAATGTGGTAATTGAAACTCATTGTTTTGATTTTGATTGTCACTGTATACTACAGCGCTCAGATGGATGTTTAAAGAAGTAAACAAAAGAGGCGGGAAACTGTTGAAATACTTATCTGAACGTAGTTGTTGTATTCTGTGTTCTAGATAATGAAATCTTAGAAGAAAAAACGAATTTTGAGTTCCAAATTGTCCAACCAGGTTGAATACGATAATAAAATTTGTTCTGTACATTAGAAATCTATCCAACACAACACAAACACCTCCTTATCGCAAAAAATCAAAACCAGAATATTCTCGATATTCCTATCGCTTTACCAACCAAATTTTCATCAAAAGATGCACGTTATCATAAGCATAATATTCTGATGACTCCAAATTGAGATTAGGCTTTTATATATCAAATCGCCAATCCTCACCAAAGTATTTATTTTGACAAGTGAACCCCCGACTTGTTAAATTAAGAGCATTATACCGTGTAATGGGATAAAAAAGGGATCATCCCCTCTCGATACTAAACAATATACAATGAAACCGACTCCATATGTCCAGAATATTTTAATAAGAGGGTAAGAAATTAGATATGCCCTTTGTGTAAGGACCAGGGCGAGGAAAACACTTGCAGTATGAACGCATTGTTATAATAATAGCAGAAGAGCGTTCATGGACATATTTTGAAATTATTTTCGATCAAATCTATCAAAAATTTTCAAGGTTGAATTTTATCACTAGATCATTTCCTAATGATATTTTATTGTATTGATCTCCAAGAATCTGGTGGAATAATCTGTTTTTCCGTTAACCAGTTGTCTATACGAACAACAAACTCTCAAAAGTCGAAACTGAAAATCAAATATGTAAATTAACGAGGCATTACCTTTTAACGGGCAATTCCTAGCGTGTAAAAATATATTTATTTGTGTATAAATACAGCATAATTCGTTTTGAGCTCAATAATATATACTTGCCTGACTGCTGATACTACCTGATTCAGACTAATATAACCAAAACATATTAGTTTGTTTCGAAAGTTCTGTCCGTTTTTATGAGTCTACTTTAAACTGTAATATCTCAGTGAATACTTATTCAATTCAATCGAAATAAGCGCCATCTGAATCAGTACATTTTTGCTAACGTAATATAAGTCGCTTTATTCCGCCAGCATACAAATTATGTGCTCGGATTTCGATGCAGTTGACAAAGGTTGTTTTTGCCTGGTCCTAATTGGCCAGTGAGAAGTGCTTGAAGAAATGGTATAAACACAATAATTTGACATCAATCAAAACTAATGTTTTTTAAGCCTACTAAGGAAATTTTGTTTATTGTGGGTAACTTCACACTAATATTGATATTTATGTTGACTTTATTCTCTCAAACTACTGATTTTCAGTTCACCTCGGCTGAATTCTTTTCAAATAAATAGACTTTCAATAGTTCCTACATATTTATTATTCGAACTCACAAATATAACATATATAGGCGGTCAGCAAATCAAAAATACAAATGAGACACTAATAGAAACCATCCCCCTCGTTAGAGAAATATTAACTCCTACACGTGCGTAAATAGCGTAACATTGCAGGGGTTGCAGATTTAATATAAGCTAATGCACCCTGTCCAAAACAAATCGCATCAGACACAGAGGGTGAATAGAGTCAACGACATCAACAAAAATATGGAAAAATTTTGATTGATTGAGATCGTAATCGGACAGTTGAAATGTTAATAATGGAAAGGATATAAGTACCTAATATAGTTTTCATGGAAAACGCACTGACCCTAGTATTTGTGAATTTTCCGCGTTTTATGCAATATGACACATAAATCGTGTTTGGAAATATGGAATCCTTAGTTTCTACATTTTTCTTGTAGAAATCACAATTGCTCTTAATGATATTTTGATAATCTGAAATATCTGCTGACCTCCGTTTCAATGTTTTTTTTAAGAGATTGGGTATTCAACTCTATTCAGTTCAATACACAAAGATGTATAGATAAAAATAGTTTATACAGATTATGTAATAAAGACAATAGGTACTCATAAATATAAAATTACAATATATATACTGTATACATTTTTACACATATGTAGGTACATACCCATACACAAATGTACATCAAGTTTCAATTAAATGTACAAATTCATCAATTGTATATACAGGATTATTTTGATAGGAGTTTCTCCAATATTCCTCGGCAGCAAGCAGGGCCATCGCCATTGGAAGGGAACAGTCCACAAATTTTGAAGTGACAATTTTACATAATTCCCAACTTTTCGCTGTTTTTTCGACTTGGAAAAGTTGGGAAATTTCGGGCCGTGAAGATTGAAAAAATTATAGTAGAAAACAATAAGCACAATATTATTCAAGTGTTGTTTCCTTTCATTTGTATTGAATATTCCTATACATGGTGGATGACCAAGGCTCTTGGTCAAAAGTAGAATAATTCCCATTATTATTTTCATAATCACCAAAATTTATTTTTGTTTGTGCATACCCTAACGGGCATAAGCATTCAGCCAATCTTTGGATAGCTAAGTAAGAAAATTAANGATATATTCCAAACAGAAGCAAAACTCGACACTTTCAGCCAGATAAGTCAATAATTCTCCTTCAAGCAGAATCAGCCCTTACAGCTTCATATAATAAACCTCATTTCATCCCTGCTGGGATGGTAACATATTGCAAGTAGCTCATTCGTTGGTTTCAGCAATAAAACCTCCTCTGAATTGCGCGAGCCAATGGGAGACATTCAACCCCTGAATAAGGGTGGATAGAGAAGTTCATTCGAATTAAATGGGATATGTACCGAGAAATTTCAGTAATTGAGAGGAATTCAGTATTTGCCAGTTGTTCTCCAGTGTTTGAAGTGTTTGAATCAGTTTTGGAAAAGAAACACAGTTGATCAGTTTCATTCTGCTGTTCTTTATCTTTTTGGTGGAATGAAAATGTCATTTCCTAATGATCGAGGGCCCTGGGATACATCCAATGTAAGATGTTTGTTATATATAATTTTTGAAAAAGTTCACGGAATAGTAAATTACGTCCAGAAAATACTGGTTTTTGGACGAGTAGACGAAATTATAGGACGAGCCAGTCCGGAAAACTGTTTTCGGAAGTGTTGCATACATTATTTTTTCGGCAACCGTGTAGAATAACAACTCAATGAGACTCTTCTTTATTATTTTTCTTTGTAGAACAAAATTTCAAATATTTCAATAAATTTTCATTTGTGTTAAATATTGAAATTCGAGTAGAAAATGGTACTAGGTACCAGAAAATTCGTGCAACTGCTAAAATATACCTATTGAAGATATTCAATTTGTTTGAAAGGCTTGGTATATGTAAACGTTTTTTGTTGAAGTCAGAACAAGAAGGTAAAGTTTCCGTTTCATCTTGTAATTTTTGAACGATCTTTGCAATTTTAATTTTGTTTGTATGTAGGTGAATTGTGTATAAATCCTTCAGCGATATTTGTAGACATCCTGCCACCATATGTATTCAATTTTTCAAAGAAAAAACACAAGCACTACAGGAACACAAGCACTATAAGAGGTGCCTGTGCGAAAGTAGTGATTCACGCAGGTCTCCAAATGAAAGAATTTTTAAACAGTGGAGTTCGGGGTGTACTGAGTTGAACCTCAAAACTATTAGCAGCCACAGTCCGTCGCGTATTTCTAATAAGTAAAGCTCTTGGTGGAATCAAATGTGTCAAATCACTTTAACACCTCCCGTGAAAGTATCTATTGAAGAAAGACAAATCTCCAACCTCTCTTCGATGTTCTGACTATCAAGGTTGCACGTAATGTTCGCGTTTCCAATCAAGCGGATGGCTCTTTTCTGGATGGAATCCAGCAACTTTAGGGTATGTTTGGGGCCGAGCTCCATTCATGAGAACAATGCTCCAAAGAAGGTCTGAGCTGAGCTTTATAAAGCATCAAAAGTTGCTGAGAGGCAAATAACGTCGCTGAAGTTCGACATATTATATGGTCTGTGTAACTTTGGATTAGGTTAGGTTTGGGAGAATCTACGATTCTCAATCCGAAATTTATAAAACTGTGGATACCAACAGGCTGAATCAAACATTTTCCTTTTTTTGTGATTCACGAATAATCTGTTATGTGGAATAAGAGATGACCGTAAAAATTAAATTAAATATTGCCAGTACAACAGCAAATTTGCTTGCCCAATTACAACATACCTACGTTTTTCAAACATGTGTTTTGGAATCTGGTATTTTCTCAAGCAACATATTTCCTTAGTCTTTCATTAGATCAATTGACATTTTTGTTAGTTTTTCACCTCTACACACGCATCGGTTGACCCGATAATTGTTGCTACGTGAAAATGAAGTAAATCTATCCATTAATGCGAAAGTCACTCACTAAATACTAATTATCTCTCTTTCTCCGTACTTAAGTCATAGGAAGCTAAAATTTAGCATTTAGGTCTTGGATTTTCAAATATTCCAAATGAGGCTCCCCCTGTGGGGGTAAAAGGGGCGCGTTTACATACAAAAATTACCTTTTCATCACTATTTCTCCGTACCGCTTTTTTTTGGACGCTGAAATTTTGTATGTAGGTTCGTTTTATGTTGTAGATGTGCAGTAAGAAAGGATTTTTGAATATTCCAAGTGGGAGGCCCCCACTGGAGATGAGAGGGGCGCGTTTACATATGAAAATTACCCTTCCATCACTCTTTCTCCATACCGCGATATTTTCGGAGGTTAAAATTTTGTATGTAGGTTCTTTATATGTTGTAGATGTGCAATAGGAAAAGATTTTTAAATATTCCAACCCGCACGGGAAAAGGCGCGTTCGTAAAATCAAGTTATGTATGTACAAGTTATGTATGTAGGTTTATTTCATGTTGTAAATGTGCAATAAAAAAAGATTTTCAAAAAATTCTACCTGGGGCGCCCCCACTGGGGATAAAAGAGAAACGTTTACATATGAAAATTACCTTTTCCTTGCTGTTTCTCCGTACCGATTTATTTTCGGAGGCTGAAATGTTGTATGTTCGTTCATTTCATATTGTAGATGTGCAATAAGAAATTATTTTTAAATATTCCAACTGGGAAGCCAGCCGCGAGGAAAAAAGACACGATCATAAAACAACATGTTTTCATCACTGTTTCTTCAGTATCAGCAATGCACCCGTGCGGAATCGGAGCGGTTCGCTGGTTGAATTAATTCTTCTATATTCTACAATCATATTTTGTTGAAATTAGCTTTAGTATTAAACAGGGGCGTAGCCAGGATTGTATATAGAGGGGAACAGACAAAGAAAATCATAGATTATATTGTTTTGATCGTTGTTTCATATGAGATATAGCTTTACTACTTGACAATCAATCTTTTCAAAACTTCTCGTACAATTCCACCTTCTTTTTCTTCAACATTTTTTCGGTAAACGCTTACCATACATGAACCGTTCAAACGGTTTTCGGTCGTCATAGACGTCAACCATGTTTTACACGGCGCAAGGTCGAAAAAGACCTTTCTTACCGTTACAGTGCCTTTCTGTATTGCTCGTCGTACGTGGCTGTGCCAACGGAATAATGATACTTCTTCTTGTAGCCGGGAAGAAAGTGCCCGCTTTCTCTAACACATCTGTAAAGTCTAATTTTTCTAGATCTTCTCTGTGTTTACCTTCGATCTATTCACAATTTATCCCATAATTCATCTTCATAGTAGTGGCAGAAATCTTGTAATTTATCTTTGAAATCAACCAGTGTCATATTTAACATTGAACTGGGACGTAGTGATTATAACCTGGTGAATATTCGTAAGAAAAACGCTGTTCGAGTGCAGATATCATTGAATCTAAATAAAGAATGATGATATGATTCGTACATGTGTACCTACAACAGGTTAATTACAATATACCTGAATATATGGCTATCAATGCAACGCATATAATAAATGCTGATTAAGTAGCAGCACAATGTTACTGAAAAGGACTTTTTTCGCAGCAGCATTCCCTTCTGTAGATATCTTTGCAAGTACATTCATAATTTCCTCAAAATATTTGTTGAAAATGACAACATTTTTATTATATTTTTGCCACCAACGTGTCTCACGTAAGGCCGGAATGTTAGGAACAAATCATCTTCTTAAAAAAGATTCACAGAAAAAATTAATTATATCTGTTGTGTTTCGTATTTCTGGCACTTGATTTGAATCATTTACTACTAAGTTGTAGCTTACACTCTTCAGTTTCTTTCTAAACGCCACTAATACTTCCAGCCATTGTAGAACACCCATCGTAACCTTGACCAACGCACGTATCAGGTTCAATTCCTGCGTTTTCTAAAAACTCAATTTCTGACTACAGTATTGGCATCCATTGCAAACAATTCTACGAATCCTAGAAATTATTCACGTATCAATACTCGATAAAACTCAAGATCACTATCCAAGAGTAAATAGAGATGCAATGGAAATTAAAAAACGCAGGGATAATTTCAATAGAAAAGAAGAGACAACGAAGATTAATAAAATCTGGCTATCTTTCTTCAATTGTACGCAAACAAGATCAGGTAATCCAATTAAAAGAAGCCAAGCTAGGTCCATTAATAATATTATAAAACCTGAGTCAAATACCATCGTCGTAGTTTCTGTGTTGGAAGTAACAACTCTAGCACCAACTCGGCACTGTGTCATCGATCCATATTTCTTTGAGGACATTGTTGGCCAGGCCATCGCTGCTACGACAAACACTATAGATCGATGATTAGCAACTTCTCTTGGCCATGAGCCACACAGCTCATGCCACATTGGATATTGTGCATGAGCAGTTTGAGGGCATGAACACCTCACTTTAGATAATTTTACAAAAAAGTCAACAAAACTTTGTTGTTTCCAGGGTCCCGATTTCCCTCCTGGATACCCACCCCCTGATATAAATGGATACCCCGGTCTTTGGGATCCACACCATTGTCTCGCTGGTCAGAACCCCGCTCTGAGTGGATATCCTGATATTTTGACTGCCTTCAACTCGGATTTAGGTGAGTAAAAATAAATTGAAGGAACAACTGTGGGATTGAAAAGGTCAAACCTCAAAAGAAAACAACTGTAGGATTTAAGACTACAAAAGACTACAATTAAATAAAAAAACAAAGTGAAACAATAGACACGAATATAAAAAGAGGTTCTTTTTTTGTTAGTTTGGCAAAGACAACAATGTGGAAGTCTGGTCCCAAATCGTCTAAGTAGAAACGGTTCATCAAACGGATCGCAAACTCAGAAGAAAACAAGAAGAAGAGTGGCCACGATCGCCCAGAGAAGAGCAGCCAACATCAGAGAGAGGAGGCGTATGTTTAATCTAAACGAAGCTTTCGATAAATTAAGGAGAAAGGTAAGTTATATTAGTTTCAGACATAACTTATTCAGTTGAAGCAATGAAAAAGTAATTCAATATTTCATTTGTATCTTTCATTCGAAGATTGAAACATGACGCTCTCATGACAAATGGGACACAGAACCACTTTGATGGTCTGTTCATTAATGTTCTGTGTTTCAGGTCCCCACTTTTGCATACGAAAAGCGACTTTCCCGTATAGAAACTCTTCGATTGGCAATTACCTACATCAGTTTCATGTCTGAATTGCTTCATGGGCATCCGTCAGAGAAGGGATCAGATATTTACTCTCCGAGAGAATATATTCCCTACGGAATAATCAATTAGATTTTCATCGTTTTCAGACCTCTTAAATTTTCTGTGATATTATTTTCAAATATTAGCGTTGGAAATATTGGCATCCTCGGTTGAACTGATATATCATTTTAAAGATTTTCCAAAGTACTTATTACTAGATTTTATGTGGCAAAGTGTTAATTCGATGTACTCCAATATGTTTCGCGGCAATGATAGGTCAAAATTGGTAAACACCACAATATTGAAATAATATCGATGCCACTATTCATGTTTCTAGATACTAGCTACAGAAAATATTGTTTTGGCAGATTAGCATAGCAGTTAGGATTTGAACGAAAAAAAATCAAACTTCTCCATTTTTTTAAGAAACTGGAAATTGTCAAATTAACAATTATAACATTAAAACTCTAAATTGGGACAAGCGTCTGTAGACAGCTATCTCTTCACATTACACTTGTCACTCGGCATGATAGATGTTAACAACTGGCCAGATAGCCTTAGTTGCTGATGCCATTTAATCGAAAAGTAGAAGAAGAAATTTTTCCTGTTACCTAACCTAACCAAAGCTATATTCATAATGCATTTCAATACGTGATATGTTTTCCAAGTTGAAGTTGCACTAGTTGAATCATATTCGGTTAGGTTGAGTTACAGATTATTTTTTGTCCAATTAACAATCATATACTAAAAAAATATGCATTGAATTAACGTACTGACATCTACTGTGCTGAATACAAAGTGTTCATGCGAGGAATTTGCTATCACAGACGCTGATCATATTTTTCTGACCCTTCTACGCTTTTTTACATACGAACATAATATGCTAATTGTTAGAATTACGTGATATTTGTACTTGTAGACTTTATAAATTACCAAATCTAGTCATAATCTGGTTCTTCAATGCTTGAAAGAGAAAGAAGAATTTCTTTAAACAATGACTTGAGTTTTAGACAAAGGAGACTAGTAAAATCATTCTTCTATTAAAAATGGTCAACAGTATTTTTAACCTTGGAGAAAATTCAAAAATATCTAAGTAGACTAATTTATTCTAGAAAATATACTTCTTTCTTGGTCAGGCATTTATTAATTATAAGCTCAAAACGATGAACTTCCGAAATATGTCTTCCAATTAGTTTTTTAGTGAATGAAAGACTTGAAAGTAGATATTTGTTTGATTTATTTACAATATACCCGCTAGCATATCCTACAAAAGATTCAAATTCCATAAACCTATTGTCAGGAAGTTTCATTCTTCATTGAGAGATTTTCACTACAATGTTACTAAAACGCAACACGTTTTTCGCTATACAATACCTTATTCAGGCGTGTTAATACTAACGAAAAATCTACATATTCAATGTACCTACCTTAGTTTTACCTACCCAATTGATGTTGAAAATGTTTACCTGCGTAGATTTCCTCACCATTATTTATCTATCTGTAAATTATTTCCACTTCGACGACAAGTTTTATTCATACAGGGAGGGACTACTAATGGCCGTCGTTTGCTGGCTGAAATTTCCATGAATTGGTAATCTAGAGAGTGAAATTCACTCTCTATGTTAATCAACTGATTAACAGTCTCTTCTATTGGTACAGATACGTAGATGATACCTTAGTCTGTTTTACTGGTACCGATAGGCAATTAGGTAAGTTCGTCAAATATGTCAATTCCATTCACCCGTCAATAAAATTCACCTCTGAAATGATGGAGAATAATTCAAACAAATTATATTGACTGGACATTATTTTGCAGTTTTCCACAAACCACATTTTCATACATAATTCCTCCACACATCCCTACCAGCATAAAGTGACTGCATTCAAAACTATGCTTCACAATAGTATTCTTTAAAAACAGAATGCTTGGACGTGGCTTACAGAACAAATAATGATTCAAGCACGTTTATTGAAAACGATAAAAACAAAACTTCAGTGTCAGATAGATCAGGAGTATATGTTGACTTGTGGCTCTTACCTAAAACTTTATATTGGCCAAACAGGCCAAACTTTTTCCCAAAGTATTGAAGAGAATAGAAGCAGTGTCTTGAATGGAAAGACTAATTCCACATTTGCAAACCATCTTTTAATGAGTTCAATCAGGACTATAACGTGTTAACATATTCAGGCATGTAAAGATAAGCCCGAAGAAGCCATTGTATGGCCATTTGCTCATTAAAAAACTCAAGTACTGTATAGTTTTGAAAGCCCCGTTGAAACTAGATGAACTTTGCATCAAGTTTGACAACTTTTATTTTTCAAAATTTATTTTTAACATCAAAGAGGCTCTTAAAATATTATTATATTACAAAAAAAAAAATTCGGTGACGAGTTTAGTTAAAATAAATGATTTAGTACAGGAAATCACGTGACCTATTTTGTAGACGCCATTTGACATCATTTCTTAAGCAAAATCTACTGCCAAAATCAAATTTCACATAAAACGATAAATAAAAAAGTTCCCCATTTGATGCGGACTTTATCGGTGACACTGTATATAGCATTGAATATGTAGATTTTGCTTAGAAAAGGCAAGCCTGAAGAAACTATTGTAAAGCTAAACAATTCGTGCGTTTTCATGAAATTGTTCGGTGAAAATCTCACAATAAAGTGTTTCTAGAATATATTTTTGGCACCATTCAATAGTTTTCTTCTATTTCTTGCATTCCCTCTCTTCAAAATCTGTTGCAGCCATTTTCAATGAAACACGGAAAAGCACATTTCAAATCAATTTATTAAAGAAATATTAAAAAATAAAGTAAACCCTAATTAATCCATACGAGTCTTCAAATTCTTAATGGTGACCTTGTCTTTCTCTCTGAAATAAAAGCCAAATAAGTGAACTCGTCACAAAAACATTCACAACACAACAATACTCACATTATATACACTGTAGCACCCCATCCAGAAATAGCGTCCCTATCGAAAGCGTTGATCAGTGCCTGAGAGGTCGTCTCAAACAAGTCTTCCGGACTAAGATTGGGCTCCCAGAGCGCCTCGCACATACCATACAGCTGCGCAGAAGCGGTGCCCCCCACGACGAAATCGTTAGGAGGGTTGATGCACCCGATGAGATCCATGTTGCAAATGAATGGCTCGTACGTCTTTGGCATCAACCCGGCCACGACGGGCTCCACGAAGAAGGGTCCGAACCTTTTCTCGTACAGCATGTTTGAGAGCATTGCGCTACACACTTTAGGGGATATGATCCTGTTTTCTTTGAGTTCGTACAGGTTTTTTCTAAATCGCAGCTTCTCCATGACGGTTTGAGTATCGGTTGCCAGACCGGGGAGACCGACGTACAAGTGAGGGCCCATTTCGAATATTTTTTCGAAGTTTGTTGCCACTGTTTGCGCTTGGATGCCGAATCTGCGATCTGCTGCTATCGAGACGCAGTTTTCGCCTTTCATTGCCACCATGGCTCCACCGTTGTAGGCTAGGATTGACTGAAATGGTGGAAACAAGCTGTAATATTGAAAACTTGGAAGTGTTATGAAAATACGCTTTGTCATTAAACATAACCTAAGTAAAGCCGGAAGGAACTATTTGGAAGACTTACCATTATTTGATAGAAATAATATGTTGCGGATTTAATTCAAAATTGTTCTGAAAATACTGCTTTACATACAAATAATTGAATTTATTAATTGAATTGAACTAGCAATTCACTCGCAGTTTTGACAGTGACATTCTATTCCATATTCATTACCAGTGATGCCAACTGCTCAAAACATTTTCCCCTAAGCCCATTTCAAAACCCCCTAAATTCAAACCAAGATACACCATTTTTTAGTTAATAAAAAATCAAATTGAATATTCGAAGTTGCTATAACATTTAACAGTTAACGAGTTGATAGATTAACTCACATTCATATTCTTGTCATAACGAAGTTTTAAATAAAAAGGTTATTGAAAAATGTTACATGAGATTTTTAAAACATGGTAACTTTTTTATTGCCTTCATGTGAGTACGTCAGTACACAACATCAACTAATACATAAAAAAATTATTACATCAAATGAGCAGACATGTATGAGCATGAATACGTATACTATGTCAATTCCCAATTCATTAATAGTTTCGAAAAACTCATCAGCTTCCTGTTCTTCATTTGTGTCGATATCAGTTATATATTTTCTCCCTAAAAATACCCCCCCCCAAAAAAAACCCTTTTTCAAATTATATCCCCTAAATTTAGGGGGAAAACCCACCATGTTGGCATCACTGTTCATTACTCATTTTCAAATCAAAGAAGTGAATCACAGATATGTTAACTATTCTGTGACTGAATCCTAGACTTTTGGTTCTGTGATTCAATTCAAAAGCGTCTAGGAACAACAGCTGATTGGTATGCAGAATAGCGATCACATTTCACATTACAATGTAAAATATATTATTCTTTGACATTCCACTTCTCAGTCAATAAATGAAGATTATCTAATTTTCAAATGGAAGGAGTGAAGATTATTACATCAATACAAAAAATTCATGATGACATATTTAAAAGCACAGAAGTTTCTTTCAGTTACAAACCACAAGCTAAAATTGAAAGTACCTTTACATTTTTTCCCTTATCATATTGCATATTCAACAGCGAAATATATATTGAATTTCACATACAAGAACAACTTTTAGTTTTTATAGGTTCTAATAAGGGATAGAAAGAAATGTTTTGATCCAGATGAGTATACTCATAGAGTTTGAAATTTTTTCGTGTGTGAATTTTTTAATCAAAAACTCTAAAACATTGTGTAGCATTCCTGCATGTATGTCTCCAAGGCGAAAGAAAAAAAATGGTTTTTTGTATAAAATAATGTCAATTTCACAAACTACGCCTAACAATTTGATCTTCACAAATTTTATTTTCAAAATTGTCGCGACTCTCACAGTAATTTTTTCATAGAGAATAACATTGCGACAACTTCTTTTTGTGGTATTTTTGTTTCGCATGTACATTATTTTATTTCTGTTATTCGCTACGAAAAAAGCTACTGTGATAGCGGAACGTGTAATATTTTTGAAAATAAAGTTTGTGAAGATCAAATGGTTGGGTGTAGTTCATGAAATTACTATCGATCTTTATCAAGTAACGGCCGAGTCAATTTATATATCTGCGACTCACCGAGTATACATGAAAAATGTATTGAGATGATCTCTCAAATCAGGTGCGAGTACTGATGGGTTGCGTTAAACTATTACTTTCAAAATAAATTTTAATTGACCTCCTTTTCTTAGGGAGAGTATGAATGATTTCACTAAAAACTGTTATATCCCTATTTGCCATAAACGATGTTTTTCTTCAGCTTTAGTTGTATTTAGTTCAAGTAATACAGCCTAGATTAGAAACGACTTGGTTTCATTGAAATTTTTACTTAATAATAAAGTAGCGATATATGATTTATTAATTATATTTTTTGGTTCATTTCAGAGTATCAAAATTATTTTTTATAAGTTTTACAAGTCCAAGTTACCACAGGAAACTTGGATGTACATTAGACTGAAAACAAATATATTATTGTATTTTGTATCAAAGAAAAAACAACTTTGTGTCACTAAATAACAAATTAAAACTTCCTATTGAGGTTATGTATGCGTATATGAAATTACATGCACTGTTCTGGTCTCAAATCAATAAAAACTAACAATTTCCATTTGGTCTCTGGCGGAAAAATGCATCATAAGAAATATAATATCATTTATTAAAAATAATGTAAAAAACCTATACACTGGATATTGCAGATTAAAGAATAAAGTTTGTATGAACTACAATTTTGACTTACATTCGATTACACAAGGTTGGCACAAAACCATTCTAGGTATATACAAACTCTTTCTTAAACATGTAAAAAGCGTAAAAAGAAAAAATGATTCATAATGGCGAAAAGAGGTATAGAAGGTAAAAGTAAATCAATCACAAGGGTATCAACATATTCTTGATGAACTGAAAGGGGACTATTTCAGTCTGCGGGGTAAAAGAAATCAAACTAAAATGAACTGATATCCATGATAGCAATTAGAAAATTTTCACAATAAATCTTGAGACACATTTTGCTACATGGTAGCTTCATCAGTTGGATTATTGTGGACATTGTTATTAATTTTCATCAAATAATAGGTCAGTGTATTTATACAATAAAAATTAACGTCAAATGAAACCAGTCACGTTGAGATAAGTTTCAGTTGAGTTGGGAAGCAGGTTCACCAACATTTAAGTGTTAAATGTCAATTCATATTTAAATTTTCGACTGAGCTATTGAAAAAAATTACAAAAAAATTAAATCAACTTTAGAAATGTGAACAAGCTCATAATGGCAGTTTAATTCTCCACCAAAAAATCATTGATTTCCTTGCAGCACTAGAAATAATACCCCTTCTCCCTGTTTTTGCTAAATACAGTCCAAGACAGACCTCCTATAATAAATACTATGAACCTGACAAACAGAATATGATAAATATATTTACAACTAGGTAGTCTAGAACATTATGACTGATAATTATCCGCCATTCATCTCGGCAAATATATATCCATTTCAATGGCTCTCATTAGTTTAGAAAAAATCAATAAGACTTATCTAAATAGATAGAATTGGACCTCAGGCTAGAAATCAATCATCGAAAACACGTTTCACTCATCTGAACAAAAATACAATCTCTCGACATGCGTTTAACTAACAGAGATTACTAAAAAGTATGGAAATAGCAAAGTGTGGATTGCGAATAACTATGAACTGCATCACCTGCAAACGCCACCTTGGTTGGTGAAACGTTCATTGAGAAGAGTATTGCAGTTTTGGCGATTGAGAGAAGTGCTTGTCTTGGATTCATTCTGAGCCAGAAGTTGTAGTTTTGAGTCTATTAAAAATACTTGTCCTCACAAGAACAAAAATACTCTCTCGACACGTGTTTTGCTAACCAAGTAAGCATCATCGGGAGACGGCAGAGTTTTAGTTATCTCCTTATATAGCTAACTTGCCTAGCAAAACACATGTCGAGAAACAGCATTTTCGTTCCCTTGAGGAAAGAGTGTGTTTAATAGCAAAATGAATATAATGGTCAACACTCAAAAGTCAAAAACTGAAAATTATCTTGCCAAATTTCTAAAATTTTAGTCAGCTTTGCCACTGATGAATATACATGTATTCCATCTTTCAGGTGGACATATAAATTTAACATTGCATTCATTTCTCGTTTGATTTCGTAACATTGTAAACAGAACCAACATTATAAAAGCTCTTTTGAAAGTATCATTCAGTTCCATAATTATGATGTAGTTTGCTAAAAGAAACAATTTGGAGAAAATTACGAGTTTTTTTTGGAAAAAAAATTGAAAAGGCAAATGAACAGAAGCCTGCAGCAAGTAATCGAGAACAGAAGGTGTCATTTCATGAATTTTCATTAACAAAAGTGTTCGAAACAGATTTTACTACTCTAGCGTGGCCTTATCTTTTGAAGTGTACTATGAAGCGCATAGTATTGACTAATTGGTGATCATCTAACAAAAAAACGTAAGTCTAATGAGTATTTTTCCAAAACCAAAGCGAGCCGATATAATGAACATTTACCACAAACTGCATCTGACCAAATCATAGATATTAGCACCTGCCGAAGGTTTCATCACGAACCCATTAGAAACGTTTCAAAAACTCCTCGGACACGATTCTAGCTCTAGCATTCACAGCTAACTTCATCTCAGAAATCTCCTTATCGATCTCCTCCATGAAATGGATGACGAAGTCAACTAGCTTATGTTTGTACATCTGTTCTGTGTGGAAATTCGTTATCAGGAAACTGATATCGTAACCATCAATAGGTTTCCTCCTAAGAACTATGAAATTTTCCGCACGCATCATCATGAACCGCATGAACTTCTTGCAGAGGATTTTCTCGATCTCGTCTGCCTGCTTGACAGCAATGCTGATCCTTATCGAGTTGACTGAAGACTCTATGAGCACCTTTTCCTTCTCGTTTCTCGAAATCACGACGGGATTCAGTAAAAGTTCTTTGGAGCTCCTAACCTCAACTTCCGGTTTGTTGTGTCTTTCTACCACTTGGGAGGAAAAATTGTCGAGGCACATGGCTGCGGTCAGGGTATGACGAACTGCTGTTAGGTATGGCTTGAGCGTGGCCGACATTGTGGCGAAAATTTCGTATTTTGATTTACCCAAATAACCACACCTCCCTCAGCCTTAACTTACTTTTTGACACTTAGTTGACAGTAACGTCAATGACAACAGATAACAAACTTCAGACACAGAATAATAAACAATCAGAAGAGACACTCGACATCAGCACCTCTGATCTGATCTATTTTCGTTGAACTCCGCCATTTTGGGAGGCTGAAACATATCAACACACCGGCTCCAATATCAAAGAATTAGATCGGGGTTCCGGGAATCTTATAATTTGTCTTTGAGTGAAAATGAGTTTCGTGGTGGCCGTGGTAGTGGACGGACGTGCCTATAACGTTCGTCCACAAACAGGTACACGGATGCCATGTGCTATTGCGAGGCTTCTGTATATGTTGTGATTGTCTAGTGTGAAGACATTAATATGTGAAAGTTTAGTCAAAAATATGAAGAGAGGATCCCCTTTATTCACATCAGTATCCAGGCCGGAGTTCGGATAGCCACGTAAAGGGGACCATATAAGTGAATTCAAAAACCCGAAGGTCTGCCGACGAGGAGGCGACCCGATAAATATATATGTGGAAAAATCAAACTCCTGAGCAGGAGGCGAAAATAAAAAAGGTATATTGTTTTTATAAAAAAGTTCGAAAACAAAGGGTGGCAGCATTGCTTCGAGTAAGACCGCAGCGCCCCCAACGAAGCTTTTGTCAACTTTAATAGGAAGAGCCTGGACAAATGCGCCCGAGTGGGAAGCAACGTCAAGTAAATTCAGAGAGAGAGAGAGAGAAAATATAACAACTTATTTGAATTGTAAATGTAGATCCAGAAAATTTCAACATTATATTTTTTCACTTTATTCAATATTCATCTGGAAAATAAGTTTTGTTAACATTTAAACAAAGATAGAGGTATTTTGTGAATATTATATGACAAATTTGACTATGGTAATAAATTAGAATGAAATTTCTCTGTCAACTTGTTTTGTGGCATGAATTTAAGAGCTAGAAATATCTAAATAGAATGATGGGCAAGGTATGATGAGCTGTTTTCCGGGTACCGCTCCATGTTCTGCGTTTTTGATCCTCTCAAATATTATTTCCACATCGTTTCGGCAAAGTCTTATTTGCAATCTTCTGGTGATGTCGCAAAACGTCAATTTTGGGAACAGGAGAAAGTCGCACGGAGTCAAATCTGGTGAATACAATGGCCGAGACATGATACAGCTTCGATTTCGGCAAAAAATTACGAACAAGCAATGACGAGTGAACATCTGCATTATTGTGATGCAAATGCCATTAATCGTTTCTCCACAATACCGGACGTTTTCTTCGTTTCGCTTCCCGCAAGCACTGCATAACTTCAAGATAATACTCTTTATTGACCGTACGACTATGTAGCAAGAACTCCTGATGCAATGCGCCACGGTACTTAAAGAAAAAAGTGAGCAAAACCATGACTTAGCTCTCCTGGGCTGTTCCATTGGAACGATTGGACTTTGGTTTCGGTGTTATGTACCTTTTTAAGCCGTTGACGTTCAACAATTTCAGAGTGATGCTCATGCACATTTTGAACAGACCTCGTATGTATCCTTGTGATTAAGACATATTTATATTTCTTTTGACTTAAAGATCTGCAATTTGAATTTTTATGTGTTGTCTTATGCAATATTTGTACATATAAAGCGTTTTTCCATTAGTAAAACTAATGTCTTGTGTATTTCCATCGTTTATTGATGTATTGAGAAATAGAATGTGCACGTTTTACCAATAAAAAACGCTTCAACATTCCTTCAATATCTTCCTTATTAGTGGTGTTTCGAGTTTGATACTACAGAGATCGTTAATGGTATACAGAGTCGCCAAAGAAAAGGAACAGTTATCAGAAACTTCAACATTTTAGGAAACGCAAGGACTCATTGATTTTTTATTAAAAGTTGATTCTCGTTTATAGAATTTTTGACAATGATATTCCACGTGCAAACGATAAGGGTGAGTATGCTTATAGATAAGTAATAAAAATGTACCAAATTTCATGTATTAAAAAAAAGTTGAAAAATCATTTCAGAATACTATAACATACATAAATCATTCCGAGTCGGAATTATAAAAATCATTAGCAGAATCGATATTAATCTCAACATCTATATTATTATAGCAACCTTTATATTTTCGTACAATATCTCCCCACAAAAACGTTTTATCACATTTTGGACAGTTTCCCTCCAAAGGCACGTACTCTCCTGATTGTAAAAAATATTTCGACAAACAGATAATGTGACAGTTCAGATTGCAGTTATTATTCAAACACCTCAGTGGTCGTTCCTCGACAGTTTCAAAGCATATGTTGCACTGATTGCTACATTCGGTAGTTTGACTTAGTTCTTGGGAGCTTTTAGGTAGTTTTTTGCTTACTATGGGACCATGACAAATCGGCATATGCATGGGGGGAAGCATCTGCACCTAAAAAAAAAATTCTCGAACTAATTCAATATAATCTATTCAGCAGTTACATCACTCTTTTTTTTTAAGAAAGAATCGGACGTGGCTTGCAAGACAAATAAAAGTTTAGGCAAATTTATTGAAAAGAATAACGATAAAATGTCAGTGTCGGATAGATAAAGGGTATGTGAGTTGACTTGTAGTTCTTGCACAAAACTATATACTGGCCAAAAGGGGAGAACTTTTTCGCAAAGCATTAAAGAGCATAGAAGTAGTTTCTTGAATGTAGAGACCAGTCCCACATTTGCGAATCATCTTTTAACAGAGGGGCATAAGTTCAACCAAGACTATGAAGTAGTACATTTGCAAAAGGAAGGTTTGAAACTCCATTTTGGAATGCTGAAAAATTGATAGTGAGGGTTCTGAAAATTTACTGAATGATCGAATAGAATAGAGTTCTTCCCCTCTCTCAAGTCTGTTTTTTAATGTAGAAAATGTCCATTCATTGAGTCAGTGATTTTTTTATAATGTTTTAATTTGTAATCAACTCATAGATTGTTTCAGAAGTTTTGTTAGTTTTTATGAGTCTACTTTAAACTGTAATATCTCAGTGATTACTCATTCAATTTAATTGAAATAAGTAGCATTTCAATCAGTGCACGTTTGCCAACATAACACAAGTACAAAATTCTTTATCAGTATATACAGCGACACAAATATTTATTGATATATCCTTTCAATTCAGAGAAATGGAAAACTTCAAATTGAAAAACTAATTTCCTCCTAGTAAAAATTATTTCAAAATATTGGTAAAACCAATAGTGAAATCAATATTCAATTTGAACTTTAGATTCATTCTCACAGGTGAGAAGAAATTTATACTCATTATTATTATTATTGTGATCCTTATGATATACAACTCACTGGAAACTCTCTGATGAACTCCTGATTGAGCCACCTAATATTGAGAGGTAATCTGCACCACGGACCGATTTTCAGCATCTCAGTCAAAACTCTGAAGCAAAAATCGTAAGACCTCTCCCTCGGTTTTTTCTTAGGAACATGCCTCAGCCTCCTTGAGACATGTGGATGTTGCCAGGCCCACTCGAACTGTGGAGAAATGAATGAACTAAAGCGAGTCGCTTATTTTCGTTTGATACTCACACGCAGGGCAGATATATCATTCGGGAATCCATGTATTATCATCACCATCGACCTGAAACACTTTCATAGTACTCGCGAAGGCTGAAGTGATGTATAGACGCACCATGGGCCCTTGTTGCTCGTTTTCCAAGCTCCCCCGAACTGTTTGCCTTTATTGTGTTGCTTTATTCTTCTGTTGGGGTCTACGGTATAGCCTATGTAAGTCCTACCTTTGTATTTCGGATTTAAACAATACAGCAGGTAAACCCCAAAGAAATGTTCGATTGTCTGCGGCTCCATTACAATCAAGTTTTTTTAAAGAATCCAATCAATTCTCTGAAAAATTAAAATGTAAATTAACCAGTAGATATAGGTTAGGTGTTGTCAATGTTGTCATAATGTGGACTGGCCATTAAATAGAGAACATTGGTAGTTACGGAACACTGTGATATTGACTCCAACAAATAAAAAAGGTTGGAGATATTCACGTTTTGGCATTTACGTCATTCATTTCCTTAACATCAGATAAAATGTTTTACGTGTTGCATATTTCGATAGCGGACTTTTTGTATTTTGATTCATCACATAATGCTGTGACACAGAACACCCTAATTGTAGTTAGGGTGTTTTGTGGCTGTGATCGCAGAGTAAGCTGTGATGCAGTAGCCAAGACATTGTGTGATCCGCATATGGATTATATGTAAAAGTGACTGCCAGGTATTCGTTATATTCTTGGTATTAGTAAGGCAAACATGCATTTATCTTCTCCACACACTATAATATCATCAATATAAGTATCGGCACCCTGGATGTTGAATATTTCCTTGAATTTATTTTGGAACACCTCTGGAGCTGAACATATTCCATAAGGTAGCCGTAGAAATAACGCCCAAACGGTGTTCCAAAAGTAGATAATTCAGCACTTTATCTAATGGAATTTGGTAGAAACCTTGGGTGGCAACCAGTGTACTGAATACTTTTGCATTTCTTAATTTATGGGCGATTTGTTCTAAGGTAGGAATAGAACAATATTCCCTATTAATTACTTTGTTCAAGTTTCGAGGATCCAAATAAATTCTCAACTTATTATCAGGCTTCCTGACTGATTAATACCACTATTACTAGTTAAATGGTCTATCGTCAACCTCCGTCTGTCCGCTGTTCGTCAACCTAGGTATGTTCGTTGACATAGTTCTCATAACAGCATCTGTTCTATAAATTAACAATCAAAGCAAATGGTTTTAGACAGTGATGCTTCAAGTATGTATTGTCCGATTGTTGAGAAATAAATTAATACGAAAATCGAAGTCAAAAGGTTAGATACTATTTATTATAAAAGTAAATATTGTGCGAACCATCGAAATCGATACAAATATATAAATAAAAATATATATATCACAGTCAAGATGTATTTCTAATGATTTTGTCACAAAATTTACTCGTACTCACGATTTTTTACAAATACTCTATGTTAACCAAACTCAATCTCTGAACCGCGAAAAATTTAATGACTAAAGGACTCTATCACTATAATTACTCTTGAGCGACATTTCGTTATTATCATCTATGTCCATCCTCTTCCTTTTGAAATAAGCCTCAATTTCCTGCAAACTTTTCCCTTTAGTCTCCGGTAGTAAGGTCACCACGAAAACGGTACCAAGCAGAGCCACTACTCCATAACAAGAAAACACACCCTTCCGTCCAAAAAAGTAGACTATATCCGGGTAAACTTTAACGGCTGCAAAGTTAAAGACGTAGCCCAAACCTGAAGTCAATCCCGTTGCAGTACCGCGAATTTTACTAGGAAACAGTTCAGCAGTTACGGCGAAAGGAATAGGAAGGAATCCAAGGGAGCTGGTGACGAAATAACCGAGAAGCATAACCAACGAAAGCTCTGTTAGGTTTTCCGTGCCATTTTCCTTCAGGAAAATAAGCCCCGTGAGAATCAGTAGGCTAGCTGTCATTCCAATACCAGACACTATAGAAAGGGGCCGCCTGCCAACACTTCTGCTGAGAAAACTAGCTAATATGGCGCTCAAAAGTCTCACGACTCCTATAACCACTATAGTCATATAAGGTTCAAAAGTAATTCCCGCGTTTTCTACTATATCGATGGCGTAGAAGATGATGGCGAACGTTCCACTGAACTGCTGGAAGAAGAAGAAAGCTGTAGCGATCGCCATCGGCTTCAAAGATTCTGGTTTCAGCAGGTAATTGATTTTTCTCACGACTTGTTTCGTCCAAGACTTCGTTTCGTTGATTTTCTTTACTCCTTTTTCTTGTAACAACATATCCACCTCTGCTTGAATCACTCGGTTGTATGTATTTGCGCCGAAAACTTTGCACATACTGCTTTTCGCTTGTTCTATGTGGTTTTTTCTCACAAGCCAGACTGGAGATTCTGGAACGAAGAAAATGGCGAATAACAATCCAACGCAGGGAAAGCCGGTGCTGATGAGGGATATTAGACCCAGTGAATCCTGAAAAGAAAGTAGAACATGGGAGTTTAGAGACTGTAAACTTTCAAGGCCGGAGATGCAAAAGAAATTCAAAAACACAGGGATAATTTCAATGGGATAGAAGGGGTAATGAACATTAATGAATTCTGGCTACCTGTCCTCAAAGGTATACAAACAAGGTCAGATTAATCATTAAGAGAAACCAAATCACGCCCACGAATAATAATATAAAACAAGGATCGTAGTTACTGTGTTTGGAGCAACGGGAACAACTCGGGTACATCGCCTTTGATAATGTCTACCACAGAAGTAGATGAAACGTCAGCCATAAAAACCTGCAAACCACAACCAAAAAACAGGAAAATAGCTTTCACAAACTTTAGAGATCATTTCTAGAAAATGAAACAGAAAAATTATCTACTAGGAATTTATTCAACATAAGAGGATTTTGAAAAAGATAGTACTTATCAGTAGTGAAGCTGATATGTTCTTAAAATATAACCTGATGAAGGCTCTCAGAAGCTTGTCTGCGTGTGACTTTTTTTCTACATATCACATATTGCATTATCCTTCTTAAAATATCCTATGAGAATTAGTGCGCGGTTTTCATTCCGGAAGACTACGAAATGGGCGACATCTAGGTTGAATAATTCAAACGTGAAACTCAAGGAAAACATTGATTTTTGCCGTGAGAAGTTATAATGGAAAATATTTTAAGATTCATTGATAATTTCACGACGTGTAATATTAATTTACGAAAATGTAGAAGAAGCTCTTTCTAATGACCAATATTTGAATTAAAAAAGCATTTCTTCTGATTTCTTTTCTACATAATTCATTTGTAGGTCCCATTTCAGATGTCAATCATGCTCGAGTGGGATTTTCTACCAAATTATAAGTAATTTACGATAAACAAAAACTAATAACTCACCCAATAACTCAAAATTCGAATAAAGATGAGAATTATAATTCTTACCTTCAACAAAAATCCCAAGAAATAGACCAGCAGTACCCCTAGTGAGAATGAAATGGAAGCCCAAGTGGCAAATACGCCTCGTAACTCTGAGCTAGATATTTCCACCATATACACTGTAGCAGGTGAACTACACAGCCCAGTGGAGAAACCTGTAAGCAACCTCCCGGCAATTAGCAAAGGGTAATGTATCTTTGTGGCGTCTCTGCAGGCAGCAGCGATTGTCAGCCAACCTGATATACAGACGAAGTTGACAAAAAAAATTGCTTTTCGTCGGCCAACCCGATCTGCGAATGGTCCGGAGAAAAAACAACCGAACGGCGTAGCCAAAGATGCAACGCTGGCTGAAAAAATATAAATGAATGCAAAGGTTTCATTGAAAAATTGCAGATTTTATGTAAAGGCTTTTCATCGGATATGCAGAGAGTGCCAATAAAAGCGAAAAAAGGCAAATTTCTCCAGGTACAGGACATTCCAGTTAAAATGGGCTACATTGAATACTGAGATTGTGGAAAACTCGCGAATCCCCTTTTTACTTTTCATGGGAACATATTTTTAAGTGAAAATCTACCCATTGTCAGCTACATCTCTCGATAACAACACACGTATCAAAAATTTCAAATGAGAATAATAATACCTCATTTGAAAGATCTTTCAATTCTGTAGCAACCCTTTTGTAACATTTTTGACATAACAATATAATCAAAATGCTAAATAAAAAAATCAATTAAATTATTAATTGTGTATTTCGTTTCGAACTAGAAAGTGAAACTTGTTATTCATCGTGATAGTCTCTATCTAATGAAGTGAGACTCGTTTCTTGCTTTTCACACTATATTCGATTGCTTATAATACATGCTATCTTACATTCTATCTTACAACGGGAAAAAGGGAAAATGTTTCACAGCTTCTATTATTCTTCTTCTTATTCATTGTAAATTGTTAACACTTCATTTATACCTCATGTAAACTACAAAACAGTCGACATCTACAAATCGCACGCATATCCATAAAACGTACTGGAAATGTCAGAAAGTTCGGAAAAGTGGGTGCCCTATGATTTGAATGATCGACAGAAATTGTTACATTTCGAGGTCTGTTCTTCTTTGCTTTTGAGAAACCAAAACGATCTTTTTTGCATAGGATCGTAACATGTGATGAAAAATAGAACCTCCATAACAACAGGAGGCGTTCAGGTTAGTGGTTGGACACCGATGAGCCACCTAGGAACTTTTCAAAGGCTTTATTCTACCCCAGAGGTTCCACTTTCATCTTTTATTTTTGTACCTATATTAAGCACTTAAACAAGAAGTTTTACACCGTGACTTCTTTTTTGTTATTTTTATTGGTGCTCATTTTAATTAATTTCAATGTTTATCTGACATTGCTCGTCATTGTAATATCAGAAATGTTAGAGTTAGATAAAGAAATTGTAAGATCTTTCAAATAAGGTGTGACTTGATTATTATTTCAATTTGAAATTTTTGACATGAGGAAGAGGTGGTTGACCAAGGGTTAATTTTTACTGCAAACTGAAGTCGATGTGTTTCGCAACTTTTTCAGTTTCAAAATAAAATGACTTATTCGAGGTAGCCCGGTTCAATAAAATCATGTAATGTCAGCGATTTTTCCTACTAAAATTCGGCCTTGTCTCGTTTTTTTTACCGTCCCACGAATACTCATTTTGGAACTTACCGAACCAAGATGATTGGTCATCAGTTAAAATTCCTTTTAAAAACGGTAAAGCAACAGCTGAGAATCCTAAACTCATGCTAGGTCCTAGATTTGAAAAATTCGTTAGTAATCCCAAGGTTACCTAGAAAAGAAAATCGATAGTGAATAATTAGCAATTGGCTTCACTAATTTGTTCGAAAGCATTTTTATATTTAACTAGTTTTTCACAGGCAAGATACTATAAAAATATCAAAACTTCCAAAATCCAATATCACCCCGGCAGAGAGACAGCAAAAACTAAGACGTAGTTATTCTTCCAGCAGACAAAAGTAATACCAGTGTGAGTACTCAACACCACAGAACACATCGACAACATGACGACCTTACGAGACCTTGGAATACCATCCAACAACCACAGACTTTCCTGCTGAAAAAGAGAAATTACTCATTCCAAGAGAAAAATGTTCTGGTACATCTCGTATATATGGTATTCAAAAAATATATGAACCAAAAATCCCACTTCGTTCCATCGTTAGTGCCGTGCCTTCGGATCTCTCACAGACGCCTTTGCCATACATCTTGCAAATACCCTCGAATAGTCCTCATTATATGTCCGAATGCCAGGCAGCTGTCAAGTTAACAAGTTGACTAATTTTCGTTGTGCATCTATCTTTCGAGATGCAACAAGTTATAGAAATGATTTTCAATTTAACAAAAGTTCGTAAAAAGCCAAAAAAGCAGGTGTGGCTATAATATCAATTATTATAGATTACTATGAAATAAGTAGTACCGAACTAGTAGAAGCAAAAAAAATTCTTTGCAAAGAGAATGGACTTGAATTTGAGAAACAAAAAACCTCTGATTCATCGTCTTATCGACTCCGACTTTGACATCAGCGATCTGGACAGTAACGATATTATGTCGGGCGAAGAAAGCCAAGCGGCGAAGGTCCCAAAAAAGAGAAAAAAAGAGCCAGAAACGGCTCAACAAATCAAAAAGTTGAAACCCGGTTTTTCCCAGACTAAATGGACCCATAAGCCAAAATCAAATAAAACTGCACCCGCCTTATCACAAAGCCGGGCGTAGCACTGGAAGATCAAATTCAAAAGCCCACTCAGAAAACTGAGTCGACAAATATAGTAACAGACGCCTCGAAAAATCACCGGGCAGAAACACACAAAAAAGCGAATAATCCTCCACCCATAACCATCCGCGCAAAAGAAAAGTGGAAATCTTTTACCACGATTGCTGATGTGCAAAACATCTCTATATTGCGGGCGAAAAACCACTCAGAGTAGTTTTTCGTGGGGTCCCGGAGTCCATAGAGCGTGACGACATCAATATCGAACTCCAGGGCGAAGGATTTGAGATCTTTTCCGTAGCCCACCTTAGTAAAGCTAACAAGGTACCGATGCCGTTCGTGCTTGTTTTGGTCCCAAGGAGCCAAAACAAAATATATGAGATCACCGAAATTCAAAACGTGCGTGTAAGCGCCGAAATACAGAAGCCGAGAAACCGAGCAGGGCAATGTTACAGATGCCAAAAATTCGGTCACACGCAACGCAACTGTAAAGCAGTTCCAGCCTGCGCCAGATGTGCCGGACGGCACATGACCAAGGAATGCAAAATACCTAAAAACTCGCCTTTGCGATGCTTTAACTGCAAGGGAGAACATCCAGCGAGCTTCCATGGATGCCCAGAACGCCCTGAAAATAAAAGGGCCTCAGATAGGCCGAACGAAAATAGACAGACCACAAACCCAAGGCCTGTCGGAAGAAACACAATCAGGAGCGACGTCTTGTACGCGAGGGCGAAGGTTAGAGAACGCCTGCAGCTCTCTCGAAGATCTCCCATCGGCCTTAGGGCAGCTGCAGGCGCTTCTAGTGAAGTTTCCGTTAGTGGAATCCATGCTTGCCGGAAAATAAAACAAGAAATAGTGCCGCAAAGCCAAAGAAGTACGCTACGACTTCCATACACAGGGCCAAGAGCCAAAAGAAGCTGACAAAGGACCATGCAATCCCCTGCCGCCCCGCCACAGGAACCCGAGAGAAACTCAAACAGCCGAAAGGATAAGGGACCATAGGCCCATAACTCTGACTGAAATAAGATAACGAGTGTATGTATATGTCCGAAACTTTATTGAAAACCTGAAATCCTTCAAAGAGATTGACATCCTTGTCAGTTTTGACACTATACGAAACCTTATCCGTCTCATCCTCATCAGCCATTGTACATCCAACCCACATTTTCCCTTTCCCAGGGGTTCCCTACTCTTCTATCCTTGCAAACCTTAAAGTGGCAGACTTTGAAATCAGAACCATTGACAGGTCTGATTTCAAACCTACATTCGTCAATCACATCAACTGCATACACTCGCTCTATTGGAAGCTCAGCTCACATCGGAAGTCGAAAACAACAAGTCACTTCCATTCCTAGATGTTTCCATCACAAAATCCCAACCATGTTGACCTAAAACTAACTCATACCAACCGCTACCCCAAGTTCCATCATCATCATCCTGCAGGGTTGATTTCCATTTTGAATTATCATATATACAGATCTGACAATCACTGACAAACCGACTCAATGAAAATCACTATAAATTCAAGGGCTCAAATCCTGCCCAAAACGATTATCCCAGCTCCCAAATCCAAAGATTTTTTCAACTTCAGCAAACTCATACCTTCCACATCTTATTGAATTGATAACGTGTATTTGATTTTGATTAATATGCGTTGTAATTAAGTTGATATATATCTATAATGTGAATATGGCAAGAGTTGTAAAGATATTGCATCAAGGGTCAAGTATAGTTTGGGATATGTTTTGCACGTTGAAGATTATTATCAAAAAACATATTTATCAGCAATTCCAAGGAGATGAAAAAACAACTTGTCTGTGTTATCATATATGATAAACGGAAGCAAATTTTTCCGCCATAAGTAAGCTGTATTGATAAATTGATGGATGTAGCCGTTACTACGTGATAGGAAATCATTATGAAGAAAAGAGAAATGAAACTTTCTATGTTTTTTACCACTTTTATTCGTAACTAACGTTACTGCAGTTTCGTCCTATACGGACGTTAGTTACAAATGAAAGTGGTAAAAAACGGAAAGTTTCATTTCTCTTTTCTTCATAACCTGTATTGAATTTATATCCGAGCATCCCCATGGAGTTTGTTCATTTGAAATGTCTGCTCACAAAAACAATGAAAACCAAAAAATGTGCAAAAACTCATCGCTTTTTATTTAGGGTGAGAACATGTTCTTTTTTTTGTACCAGTTCTGAAAATTTAACAAAAACATAGTATATACTTATGTAATATGGAATATTATTGAATTTTGGAATATGAAATATGAAATATGGAATATTTGAATTTTGAATTGTTCGAACAATCAAATATCCAATTATACGTGGGCTGTTAAAAAATTAAGTTGATGCTCAAATTTCGTGGTTTACGTACATTTCATTATTTTTTAATGTTGATACTCTCGTCTCGAACATATGTCCACAGTTTTAGCTATTTAGCATGTTTAATTTGTTGGTAAGAGGCAAAAAAGTTAGAAGTGTTTTGCGTGTTCGGCGATTTTCTGCTATTTACAAAAATGGATCGAAGAATTTGCATCAAATTTTGTGTGAAAAATAGAGTTGAGAGCTAAAAAACTCTTGAAATTTCGACAGTGGCATACGATGATTGTACTTCGAGTCAGAACAATATTTACAAGTGGTACAAGCTTTTCACAGAAGGTCGAGAAAATGTGAATTTCGACGTCCGCCTCAGCACATCAACAACCGATGGGAATGTTGAGAAAGTGAAGAAAATTGTTATGAAGAGTCAATGAATCACTATTAGAGAAGTTTTGGGCATGAAGCGTGTGACAGCGAAGTTTGTTTCAAAATAGCTGAATATTAACCAAAAAAACCGTCTAATATCATTAGAAATGAATGTTTCTTTACAGGAGTCTGGAATCTCCTTGAGATAAGTTAGATGTATCTCAAGTGATGCAAGTGTCTCGTTTACCGAACTATGGCACAAGCGAGTGAAAAAGTAACTGGGTGAAATTCTTCATATCTCCCAATTTGTCTATTTTCGTCCGGCATATTGAATAAAAATATAAATTGTTTGAGGTTGGTTGACACTTTTTCATGGTGAATTTCATTAGTTCGGACTTCCACTGTCTAATACGATGTAAAATGATTTGAAATCCCTGAAAGAATCAATAAAATTGAAATGAACAGCTAAAAATAACAATTATATTAAGCAAAAACCACTGAAAGTAAATTACAATAGCATGCAACAAAATTGAAAATTGAACAATTAAAAAGAAATAAAAATTAAAAGATTTTAAGCAAAGTTACTTCACATAAATATAAATGCCGAAGGGGTCAGATAAGTCACGGTTATGTTTACAACAACTGTGATTATACTCGTAAGTGTGACATCGTCGATTTTCAATCTGAAATTGCATAATTTTCTAGATATAAATATTGTTTATTGTTTTTGTCGGAAGTTTCTCAGCCTTGATGTGCTTACTCATTCATTTCACATTTTTCTATTGTTCTAGGGCTCTTATTTCCATTACCTAGAGAAAATGTGTAATGAGTATGAGGCTAGGAAATAAATCTATCCATGATGATAATCAGAAGATTTTAACAATAAATTTTATTTGAGACGCATTTCACCACACGGTTGCTTCGTCAGTTTCATTGGTACATCAAACTATTCTACAATGTCTCTTATATGATGTTATTTCGTTTCAACATTTTTGACCTTTTTAATGTCATGTGTTTTTGTAGCTTCATTCCTAGATTAATATTTATTCTACTGGGAAGTGATGTATACTGATCGATAGAAAACTCTGAGTATACATTGATGCTGATCAGGTTTTCCAAATTTGAATTTTTTGTCCCTTTTTGTTCGATGTTGTTTTGCGAAATTTCGTTTCAGAGGTTTTAGTCCCGGAGTAGTCGACCTAAAGTAATCCAGGACGAGGATTTCAGATCCCTGGAGGAGACTGACCCATCACAAACAGTACGTGGGATGGCTGAAGAACCGGGTGTTAGATTCCAAACGCTTTTCGATGGTTTAAAACGTATTGGAAAGGTCGAAAAGTTAGTACCTCGCGATTTGAACAATCAACAAAAGTTGTCAAATTTCGATATATATTCTTTTTTGCGTTTGCGCAACCAAAACGATCCTTTTTTGGATCGGATCGTCACGCGAGATGAAAAGTGGTCCCTCTACGACAACATGAGACGTTTAGGACAGTGGTTGAACACCGATGAGCCACCTTGGTTATAGTACGTTGGTCGGCGACTGTTGTGATTCACTATTACTTTCTGCGACTGGGCCAAACCATCACAGCATTGAAGGAATCTATGAAATGTACAGAAAATTGCCTCAACGGCAGCCGGCATTGGTGAAAAGAAAATGCTCAATCCTGCTCCACGATATAACGCCCGTCCGTAATTTTGATGGTGAAGGAATTATTCGACTTGTGTTAGAAGATATTTGACAATGTTTCATGGTGAATTTCATTAGTCCGGCCTCTATTTTCCAATATGACTGGGACTACCAGTTGACCTTAAATATTGCTAACCGCGCGCTCTCCGTCATCTATCTCGAAAACGATTAAACGTACTAAAAAACTTTTGAATCAAGAAGGAATACAAAGAGCGAAAAACCCTTAGGAAACGATATATTTGCAAAAATGTGCGAAAAATCGATTTTTGTGACTTTTGACCATACAATGAATCCTTGCGGGTTGCGGTGTGGAGGATCGAATAGACCCACTCATTTTGGACCTAACCAAACCTAACATCTTACCATATGTAGGTTTTTAAATAACTTTTAGGATGTCAAAATAAAGTTCATACGAGTTTATACGCAATATCAGTTCTGTTTGGTTTTCATATGTCCACCCTATGCACTAAAATCTACACGAATAAACAAAATTATTCACATATTTAAAATTAACTCCTGCAACTCCTTAACTCCTTTTATATTTCTCCACATTTGAATCAATAGTGAAAGAAAATCGATAATGATCAATTATTTTACGTATCATAAAGAATAAAAAAAATAGTACGAAAATTCATTTGTTACAAATAAAAGAGGTAAAAAAAAAGAAAGTTTCATTTCTCATTTTTCATGATGATCTCCTATCGTGTAGTAACGGCTACATCCATCAATTTAACTGTTTGTTTCTTACCTGTTTTGAAACAGACCGCTTGAATTCCAAATCATTTTCCTTATCATTAGGAATTTCCATTTTAAAGTACGCCGATACTTTTATCACATTTATTTCTACTAACGAATAATAATAATGAAATAGGTTTCAACGTAGTTATCATAAAACATGTTTCTAAGCCGAGTACGAGTCATCAACTGACGAAATTGGTTGATAAAACCAATGCTATTTTTTAACTATGAATTATCAATATTTTATCTCTAATGGGTGATTTCTCAATGACAATTGTTGGTATAGAAATATTGAAAAAAAATCCTACTGTAGACACTGTTTGTTTCGAATATGTATGAATACAGTGTGAACGTGAATAGTCCTGCTCCCTCTCAACTTTTGAACGGAGTCGGATTTTATTTCATACTCATATGGAATGAGGAGCAGTGCAATTGATTGGATTGAATATTTTATCAGAAATAGACGCCAATTTGTCTCTTTCAACCACATACCTAATGTAAGTTTCTCGAAATATATTTTCGATACAAAAATTCGACATTTAGGTGTACCCCAAGTATCGATATTGGGGCCCATACCGTTATTACTATACTGCAATGACATCAATAGTACAATTGCTAGCACTACATATGCGTCATGTATGATGACACATCTTTCCTGATTTTGGATAAAGACGACAAACTCTTAAAAGAAAAAATATAATAGGGTTATTAATATATTAATATTGTTAATATATTAGTATCCTGATGTACTGCAAACTTTATTTATTTTAACATAGATAAATGTCTCACTTTACAAAAAACTGTTCTGATTTAGAAATATCAGGTAGAGGTATGCAAATTTCTAGGGCTCACTTCAGATCATTGTTTCAACTGGGGAAACTCATTGTCGTATACTGATCTCCTTCAAAAATTGAAAAAAAAACTCATTGTTTTTAAATTATATCTTTGCGTTACTAGTATCTCGACAGGTCGGAATTTAATTCAACAGATGTGTTAAAGTGTAGTTTGTGAAATTACTGTGGATATACATCGAGTAACGGCCGAGTCAATTAGAAAATTGTTATCCTTATCCATTCTTTAATATGAGTACAATGACAAAGATTTCCCGCAAGGAAACTTCAATGCATTGTAATGATTTAATCAATACATGGTAAATGTGTATTTTCAACCTTGTGAAAATATTCTGGACTAACTTCGATTTTGCTCAAGCACTAAAGTCTAATGAAAAATGTTTCCTTATTGGTATGGTTTAGAAAGATTCCATACAGATGTCGCAACAATCTTGAAGCTAGAGAATGTTACTATGATAATAAGAAGAAGAATAAATGTGTCAAATTTAACCAATTGACACTTGATATACAGAGCCGTCGAAAAGGGATTCAGCAAACATTTGGCATGGATTCCTAGTCATTCCAACATCAAGGGTAATGATATAGCCGATACTTTAGCCAATATTGGAAGAAATCATCTACTCTCTGATCATCCTCAAGCAGACTATAGAGAGTTTCAACCATTATTGAAACATAATATTTGGATAGACTGGACCAATCAATATAGCGGGGACAGACAATTCAAAGCCAAACTTTACTTTTCCTCCGTACCACAACCTTACAAAACTCCATGGTTCAAGGATCTAGCTACTTGTTCTCGTAAAGACATCGTCAATATGTGCAGAATTAGAAGCACTCATTCCCTCAATAAAGCGCATCTCCACAAAATTAAGATAGTTGATGACGACCGCTGCGAATGTGGCGAAATACAGACTCTCCTACATATATTCTTTGCCTGCCCTAATAAGTCTCATAATATACAAATACTTCATGCCTCTCTCAACATCCCTCTAACCTCTTACATTCCACGATATATTTTTCAAACATATGTCACCATCTAACATACAAACCGTATCCAAATTCCTGATTGCATCCAATATAAAGCTGTAGTGATCAAGACAGATCTAATACTTGTGCGCATGCAGTGCTTCGCCAATCATGACCTGATCGTAGTGTCCATACACGTAACCGTAGTGCATCACCTCACATTAGTGCTTACACTCTAGTGCAGGCGGACATTGCTTGTTAACTGACCTCAAACTACAGTCGAACTTTGTTTTAGCGCAAAACCAGGTGGGGTTTAGGTCCAACTCAGATCCACTTTAGTGTACACTTCACCTGTAGTAGCAACATGATCCTGGAACTCCTGGCTGAATAGCCCTGGCAGCTGAAGCCATTAATGGAAAAAGAAGAAGAAGGAAGAAAACCAATTGACAACTGATGACAGTTTTCGTTTTTAACCTCAATAATTTGCGAACCCAAAATGGGCTGCGAAAAAGTTGAGACTGAAAAAAAAATATGTTGAAAGCTATTTTGGAAATTTATTTTTCGTTTACATCGGTTGCTTCCCATCGAAATCGTTAAGATGAAATCAAAAGGTCATCTGTCGACTCACAATTTCTTCAAAAAAGAGGTGAGGAATTATTCATGTATAATATTTCAACATTTGATAATTACCATTCGAATTATCCATTGGCGTCAGTTTAGTGTTGATAGAATTGAGTTGGAAACCGGAGTTAATTTTCTCTATGGGTACAATTCTCAAGGTTGTCAGATGATACTTGGCCATATAATCTATTAACGTTATTATCTATATTTAACTCGCAGATGACACTCCATAAAATTTAATAATCGAAATTGATTCACCTAATAATGATTGTCTTCATTAAAATATCAGTTAGTTGTGTTGAATAGGAAACAGATAATAAATACTAATTATTGAATAGAAGTATTTATTATGGCATATTTTTTTACTTATATTGGATGTTTCACCTCTCTTGATACGAAAAAAATAGTGCTGTTTTCAGATTCTTTAGCTGAAACTTCAGGTCTAAAACTGCAGACCACGGTTAATAAAAAAATGCAACAAATTTTACTAGCTACTCTTTTCAAAAAATAAGGTGAATTTTAATTTTTCTCAAAAAATATTTATT